TCTGTCTAACCATGTTTTGTTTTTTTTGTTTTTTTGTCTCCCCTGCTGAACATCCGTCACCCCTCCTGTATTGTTTCTTCCTCCTCTTTGCTCTGTCTCTTCTTCATCTCCTCTTTTCAGGCTGTAGAAGCATCAAACTGCAATGATGCTGCATCTACCGCTGAAGGAGCGCTGGATGTGGTTGCCTTGACGATGATACAGTCTGCATTCAGGGGGCACCTGGCTCGCTGTAGTCATGCAATAGAGAGGTGACTCACAGTTTACTTGAAGGTGTTAAATTAAGTGATCCTGTGAAACATACAGTGCATTTGCAGCTTTATGTGTATGTGTGTGTGTTTGTGCATTAGCTCGGGGTTGTCTGTGCCTTCTCTAATGGGAAACAATTTACCCACGCTGGTACCAAGAAGACCACGCTCAACACACACACCCAGCAGAACAGGTGAGGTTCACACATACTTTTTTTCTGATCAGTTCCTTGTTGTATAAACGAACAAAAACACAGAACAAAGCCGGGAAAAAAAGTAATTTTGTCAGTCTAATTATAACGGTATAAAGCATCGCCCACAGAGACACTTAAAAAAAGAAGGAAAAAGTCTAAATACTTGTAGACAGAACTCTCTCCTGCTGCATTATCTTAGCCTTTCTTATATCCACGTAGCTAACCACCTATCTTCACTGAAGCTTTTTTAAAGTTAGCTTAAATTATTTCATGCTACTTTCCCAATATGTATAGAACACAACACACACTATTCAAACACTCACTCACAAATTATTACAGATGTGTTTATAGCTGCCAAATCAGATTTGACTGACATAATTCTGAATCGAGTACAGCCCTCCTTTAGTGTCACTTGTGTTTTGGATAATGATGTGGTGCATCTTTACGCTGGAGACAGAGAGAGTTATTTTACTTAAACAGTAAACATGCCATCAATACAACCACTCAGGAGTGTCCTTCAGGGTTTAGAATTGATGTTTGTCAAATATGCAGCAACACAGCATGGCCTTGCTCTCAATCCCAGAATCGCTCATCATGTCTGTCAGCAGCCCCATGGACCCGTGATGTTGTTACCTCACATGACCCCCTAAATATCTAGCCTTGTCCTAAGATTCCCCCTTACTGAAATGACCCTGTAAGACTCCACCAGCTTCTCCATCGCTTTCCCCTTCATCTCCTGACTTTCTAATAGGTTGACAGCGAAGGGGTGCAAAGAGCAGAGCAGCCATGTCAGCGTTTTTTCCCCAGCATACTCACAAGGCTGCCCCTGAGTTTGATGTGCAGCAGACTTCACTGACAGATTTCGGACTGCACCAGTTTTAGCTTCCTGATCTTGTCTTTTTCAAGGCTTTTTGCAAGGACATAGGGTTTCTCCTTTGTTGCAGTTTTGCTGAAAACATGCAATAATTTACACGGCACAGTGTCATTATATAAACTCAAGCATGACATGGCGAGGTCCACATATGCATCCTGGTAAAAGTACCATAGCTTCATCATCTGTATACACTGTATTTTTGAGGATGCATCTTAATGGCACCTTAATGACCGGTTACTGTATGCGTTGTGTTGTTGCACAGATGCTGCATCCCCCCATAAAGATGATAAAAAACAAACAGAGGAAGAAGACCCCTGGCTTGTCTCTAGCACGCACTCCTCCAGGATGACACCCACAACAGGTTAGAGATAGAGGACATGTTTTTGATTGTCAAAAGCATGTGAGATCTTTTGGTCAGCCCCAGTTTTGTGTGCGGATACAGTGTTGAAAACTACTTAATTTCACCTTTAATGACATGTTCATGTTGTTTTTAATTTATTGTTATGCGTTAATATCTCCTGCAGACCAAACAGAGCTACACTACACATCTGAGTCTGGCGGAGTCGCTGCAGCTGATTCTGACGACTCTGATGACATCATCGTGTCTCCGTCACGTCCTCTGAGAAGCAGAGAAGTCTTAATCTTATAGACCTTCTGGGTTGTTTGTGTGTGTGTGTGTGTGTGTGTGTGTGTGTGTGTGTGTGTGTGTGTGTGTGAAAGAGAGTGTGTGCAGGAAAAAAATGTGCCTGTTTCTACTCAGAGCCTGTATGTCAGAGACTTGCACAGTCACACAGTACCAAATCTTTACAGTATGGGTTCTTACTGAACCTGCGGGGATATTCCAATATTAGCCATCGTAACAGTGAACATACACTGCTGCCTGCAAAGCGCTTATTTTCTCTGCAGTAATAAGCAGAATATTCTCAGAAGCTGGGTGCAAGTTTATGACACCAAGTTAAGAAGCACATAAACACTTGTGTTGATCACGATCTTATAACGATACTGTCATAATACAACACGTTGATGCATCCCAGTGTTGACGTGAGGCCACTTTTAGCAAAGGAGAAAGCACTCACATGAGCATGAAATGAACATCCCCTTTAACTTCGAGCTATTATTCTTGTGGGTTATCATTTGTGCCAAAGTGCCTACTGCATGGTTATTCAAATTAAAGTTACAGTAATGAATTTATTTATTTCTCTTAACCTGACTGGCCCAAGTCCGCTGGATTTCACAGGCTTGAAATAATTAATGAATCCTATTTTGACATGCCTGATTTATAACACACAAACGACATCACACTAATCTGTCATGTGTGCTTAATAAATTATAGCTGATCCTGAGGTATGATTGAGGGATGATTCTCAGCCGATGCACTATTGAGTCAAACTGTGAATAAATTATAGATCAGTCTGCTGCAATACTAAACACTCAGTCAGTACAGTGGAGGATACGCAGGGAGTGTGTCTTAACGTTTGTGTTCTGCAATAGACAAATGATAACCTATAGGGAGGTCTACAGAGAATGGATGAGTGCTGTTTTCCCTACATGATGTGTGTAAATTAATTTCTGAGACAGTCAATAAAATGCTGTTTTTATAATGAAACCTCTCATGTCTGCAGTTCTTGTTAGAAAGCAGTGATGGAAAGTATCAAAGTACATTTACTTAAGTTCTGTACTTGAGAATTTCAACGATTAGTTTATGTTTTAGAATTCTACTCCACTATACTAACATAGGAAATATTCTACTCTTTTATCCAGTTATTCTCAAGAAAAGCAAAGATTAGACGAAAGATTTAAATACTCAGGAGGTGGCAGAACAGTCAAGTAAAATAAAGTTGGTTTCTTTAGAGTATAATCACCTGTAAATAAGAACCATTGTGCTTTTGTCACCTTAGAATAAGCTGTTTCTATCTACATTGGGAGCATGTCCTTGTTCACAGAGATCCTCGTGTTGCACTGCCATGTTTCTACAGTAGTCCAGAACAGCCAAACAAACACTAGCTCTAGATAGGCTAGATAGAGCCATTTGCATTTCTGCATCAGCCGCCATAGTTAACAGCACCTCTGCAACAAGAGGAGACCTTTGTGGATACTTCAGCTTCTGGTAAAAACCTCCTGAACATCTGGATTTAAGTTACAGGAAAAAATAGCTGTGACGTGTGGAAAAGCATTGAGAAAACACTGATTTGTAACATGAAACTGCTTTAGTAAAGTTTTTTACTAGTTTTAATCACCAGGTCTATTTGCTTTGGAGAGGAGGAGACCTCTAGATAATTTGCCTCCAACTATAAACCCCCTAAGCCATGAACACTGAAAGAATTCTAACTGGGATAAGTTTCAGCTGGTTGCAACTTGTAATCCTCAGCACTGAGATGCCACCAAATCCCCCTAAATCTTACACCCTTCTCCTTTGAATGGAAACTATTCCTATGGTCAAAGACAATCCAGAAATATTAGTAAAAATCAAAAACTCTCTCCCAGATCTGAAAACTAGAGCGCTAAACCTGAAATTTGTGATGTCATAAGGCATAAAGTCTGGAGCTGCTCCATAGACAGTGAATTGTGATAGACGTACGAGATGACAGTGAGCACCCAGGGGAATGTTCCGAGGATATGGGTACTTTTTCGGTTCACACCCGAGGACATTTCAATAGAATAAGGCTCATTTGGGTATAAAAAAGAAAACAAATATTCTGTAGGTCCACAAAATCAGCCTCCCTTTCACTGTCGATGGAGCAGCTACCCTATGACATGACAAGTTTGAGACTTAGAGTTGAGAGAGAGTACTGTGGTGGTGTTCCCATAAGAAACACTTGGCTATGTCTTTTATTTTTTACAACTCATTTTTGTCTGTTTTTCTTCTGTTGTGTTTTTTGTTGATTTCTATACATGACACAAATTTTCTTGAAGTATTGTATCCCTCTTTTCTTGATTGTAGGTGTTCCCCAGTTCTTCTGGGCTGTGGGTAATAAGCAAGCCACAACATTTGTATCTTCCTCTTTGTCTAATTATTACCAACACGGCATGACAGTACTAACACATCCCAACTTAGGGGGTACAGCAAGTTCTCTTCGCTGGTAATCATGAGGCACTCACTCTCTTGTTTGTCACCCATACCTGTCTCCACAAAACAAGGGCAGGTAGGAACCAATCAGCTCAGAACCAAGGGAACACACTGACTCCACTTAAACACCACACGTGAAAATAGAAATGAAACAATATAAAAAGAACTATAAATGACAATGAAATAATAATTTACCAGCAACTTAATGCTGAATCTATTACTACTTAAATATAAATAATGTACCCATTAATAAATAACACAGTAACTGAAGTAGTAAAAATAACCCCAAAATATAGTGTGTGCAGTAATTATGGTTACAGTATGTTATGCACAAGTGGGGGCAGGTGTCCTGTGTGTGTGTGTGTGTGTGTGTGTGTGTGGGTAGGGAGGTACAAGTTGTGATACAGTATAGATACCATATTGTACACATACCTCTGTGTAAGTTAAACATCAGTTAAATAATGAAATAAAAAAACAGTCAGGCTTCCCACTGTAACCTGTATTACCATCATTTTAACGATAGGGGGCGACCTCTTTGCACATTTGTTGTCCCTCATTTACACATACGGGCGTACACACGAATACACACTCTCTCTCTCTCTCTTTCTCTCTCTCACTCACACACACACACACACACACACACACGCTCTTGCAGAGCTGGAGCTGCCGCAAAGCCCCGTCCTCCAGGGCTTTTTAAACACCGTGTTTGCTTCACGCTCCAACAATATCATCCAACTGAAGAGCCGCAGCGCTAAATGCACTGAACCGACGGTCACCGTGGGAACAGCACCGACGAGCTCAACCCGTTATGGCATTAAGAAAGACAACGACGGCATAAACTATATAAAAAAAAGAAAGCTACTGGGTTGCGGGTCAACGAGTTTAACCCCTAATCTGCCGTGGCATTGTTGCACTCGTAGAAGGCAGTCAAACCAGGAGGGCGTCTCGGTGAAATGTGAGCGGACCGGGGTCGCTGACCGTTATTCCGTCGTTTTCAATGTGGTTGGGACTGCAGCCGACTCGGTCGTTGCAGCTAGCTCGGTACGGCCGCGTTGATGCAGCAGCGCACGGCTGTGGTGTTCAAATCCACCACCGGATCTGGGAAGACAATAGGTGAAATATACGCCGGCCTGGACTCCCAAGACTACGCTACACGAGAGTCTGCATCCGCTTTGGCTTCACAAGGTAGGTTGTAACACGGTCCCTATTCCCCGACACGGCGGAGGCTCTGATGTCCCACAGACATGCAGAGCCCCTGAAGCGGATTCTTGCCGTTTCTCCTCCTTGTTGCCTTGACGACTCTGTGAGAGACTGCGGTAGTTTCAACGGACAAAGCAGGATAAAGCTAGCAATTTATCGACACGATGTGTGAGAATAAATAAGGCTTGCGGCTTGAATATGTGAGGATACCCTCGACTGAGTTGACCTACATGCGGTGGTACAGTTAAGTCTGTGTAATAGAAAGAGTCGTGTTTGTGTGTGGGGTTTGATATAACGGCCATTTCACCGACCACAACACATTTATCTCACGAAGCCTGTGTTTTGCCGTATGGGCGTAAATTGGGTGATGCGAGGTAGCTGTCAGCCATGCTATTGTCTTGCTATAATTCATGTACAGTATGTCATATTACAGTATGACCTTAAAGGTTTAATATATGCGTACAATGGGCTGTTTAAAATGGCATTTTAGCACGAATATCATCATTATATTAATGCGTTTAATGGGTTGTTGTTGATGAGAGTGGGGATGACAGATTAGCTTTTTAATGATGCTAGTTTTGCCCATGTTATCGTGATACAGGCACAGTACATATAACAAAGCTGCCCATACAATAGGTTACACCAGGAGCTGTAAAGAAAAGCAGCCGCTAAATGGTAAAATAATCATATTGATCCAAGTCATTATGATGGACTCCAGTTGCACAGATTTTTAAAGACAACTGAAATGAAGTAATATGTCATATTGCAGCATTTTAGCCTATTTAATCACACGAAGTAGCATGTGCAGGTGTTTCATTGATAGATAAAGACATACAACTGCCAGATAATAGTGAAAAAAGGATGTGTTGCACAATTGATGAAAATTCACAGAAAAACAGGACATTATAATATGACAATGTGCAAGTGTATCTTCAGCAAAAGTCAAAAGAGCATGTGCAGTTTATTGGCATGTTGATATTGACTGGCATGTTTATCCCACCCTTGTCAGTGACTAATCACAGATAACTCATCAAATTGGCTTTATAATAATGTCAGTCATGAGTAATTTGCTCCAGTTGATAGATGCAGGTTGTGAAGTTTTGATGGTAAACAGTATTAAGGACTGTAGATACCGAGCCTTCATCTTGCCTAATATGTTTGGTGAGATGACATCAATACCAGCTGTTTCCTAGCTCCATCTATCATGGCAGTTGGTGTGATTTGAGCATGAAGTCATTTCTGTGCCCTGTTAACCCTTAACAGTCCTGAACTTCCCATTATGGTCCTGAATTTCTCTACAGTGTCCGTGTGAGGAATCAGGTTAGAGAGTGAAGTGACAGCCGGCAGGTAGTTGGATCAGGATGGCTGCCGTGGTGAACTACTCTCCGCCCTGGTGGGTGAATCTGCTCCACCGATTGCCTCATTTCAACATCGAATTCCAGCTTGTGAGCAGTGACTTCAGACCGGAGGACTCTGAGTACCAGAAGGTAAGACAAGTACAGGGGAATAATTACCTCCCACTCAGATTTCATCATCCAAGTCATCATGCAGCATCACCTTATCATCCCACCTCCTGCCACCTGCCCACACTGTAATTTCAAAGCAGAGTGGCCAAATGGTGACTGAGGCTGTCACCCACAGAGTTGTGGGTTCCCTCACTGCATCGATCAATGCTTTGTGTGTGTGTGTGTGTGTGAGTGAGAGAGAGAGAGAGAGAGGGAGAGAGAAAGAGAGAGAGAGAGGGGGGAATGTCCTTGAATTAAGACACTGATCCCATACCTGCTCCATCATTGTTATGGATAAATATAAACAGGATTTATTGATTGATTAATCAATACTCAGGTGGTTCCCAGCCAGGGGGTTGGCACTCATAATTTCAATATAAATAACGCATAATTTCATTATAAATCTGCAAGCAACTACAAGACTAATAGCAAATAGGAAAGAAAAACACACAACATTTCTGCTAAACAAAATTATGCTTTTTTTTTACTGTTTTTTGGGGGAATGTTTCTCAGAGGTTTGCCTTTTCCTTTGAAAATACTGGACAGTTTCACCTCCTCTGGACTTTAGAAAGTATTAAAATGACACTTTGATGTACTGCTTGCAGCTCCTACTCATCATCCTACCAAATCTGATGAGGGATAGTGAGGAGGCATTGCTTGCCTGGCTCTCCAATGGTCATGAGACAAAAAGTGGGAAGCACTGGTTCTGCCAGTGGACAGAAAATGATAGTGACGATGACAAGTTGGATAACTGATTAATAATAGTTCAAGCAATTTATAAAGCCAAAATGCCAGACATGTTCTGGTTCCAGTTTCTTAAATTTGAGATTTGTCCTGCTTTTATATCATTGTAAATTTACTACTACAGTATTGGCTTTGGACAAAACAGGTTATTTTAGGACACAAGCTTGGGCTTTGGGAACCTACAATGGACATTTCTTCTATTTCCTGACATTTTAATGGTTCACTGATTAATCAAATAATTGCAAAGATAATCAGAAAGAAAAACAATCATTACAAGTTGTTAAAAGCTGGAATTACTCAGTCGTTCTGTGATTGGGCTAGGTTATATGGAGGAAATCAAATATGATATTTTTGGCCAAATACCTTAATATCAATATGCAGCAATAGCCTATTGTAGGTGTTTGTATTGTATTGGTGCTTTTACAAAATATTTATTTTTGATACATGATCATGAGTAATGTAATGTAATGACTAAGTGGGTGAAGGCAAATAATAGAACAGCTGGAACAGCCAAAACAGTCCAAAATATGACATCACTTTACTGTAATGCAGCCTTTAAAACCAAGAAAAGACAAAGCTTATGATATTACAGTATCCAAATACTAAGGTGATATGTATATTGATATCATACTATCAATTTATTGTCAATATGTTGCCCTATTCTGTGATAAAACACTTACTGATTCTGCAGAGCTGCCTTAGAGAGCAGCTCTGTCTCAAAGAGGGGCTTTGGCCCAGTTTTGCTGCATTTCATTTGAATCTTCAAACAAGGTGACTTCCAGGTCTCTGCACCAGAAAACACAGACCCTGCGAACCCGCATAAAGCCGAGACACATCGTTTAGAATCCCACATTTCATGGGCTGCAGTCACCCCACAGTGTAGTTTGCTGACATGTTCGGGGGAGAGGAGGGAAGGCGTGCAAGTTCAAGAGCTGAGCGTGGGAAGGCACCCACGGCCATGAACAAGGGAGAGAGATGGGAACTGGAGAGGGAAGCAGGGAGAGAGGAGTGAGAAAGATAAAAAGAGACTGATTGGAGGCGAGCGGAGAGAGAGAAGGCTCGATGAGCCATGGGAGGTGCTTCTAAATTGCCAAATAGCCACTTCCTGCGAGCTATTCAGTGTTTCACTAAGGGCCTTTGTGAGTGTGTGTGTCAATGTGTGTGACCACTGGAATTTTAAGGACCCCCTTTTTAGACTAATTACATCCTGACATATTTTAGCAGACGGGGCTGTTTCTATGTCATTGAGCATCCTGCACCATGATCATGTGTTTGCACGTAATTTGTATGTACGGCAGTTGTGCATATCCTACAGTATGTGCTGTACGTATATGCCACATACAGTATGTTCACTTTCTGTGTCACTGCGTATTTAGCACTTAGTGTTGTTTGTCGAGGTGAGGTCACAGATCTCCCTCAGGGGCTGTGTGTGTGTGTGTGTGTGTGTGTGCGTGTTATTGTGTGTGTGTGGGTGAATATAGGGGTCCCATTCAGGGTGAAATCATTAATTCTGGCTAGACGGAGGGAGAGAGAGGGAGGGATAGAGGGTGAGAAGAACAAGAAGAGGGAGGTTGAATTGGATTGGGGGAGGGAGGGAGTTAGTGGGGAGGGAGGGAAGGGGGGTGAGAGTGGGAAGGGGAGGGCTGGAGTCTGTTGTGAAAGAATGCTCTCTTTCTTTCATTCTTTCTTTCTTTCTTTCACTCTTTCACTGAAGCCCGTCTTTAGATTGGCTCAGTATATCTGTCTCAAAGGCTTTCATGCATCCACTCATCCAGCTGAGAAACACACACACACACACACACACACACACACACACACTCACTCACTCACACACACATATAAACAAGGTCCTACACAGTGTCCTTCAGTGCACTGAGTCCGTCACCACAACACACACTCTCACACACCCCCACACAATAGAGAGAGATTCTTCTGTGTAGTGTTTTTCTTTCTGATGTGATTTGGCACAGGTTCATTTGTATTCAGCTCTTGAGCTCTCAAGCTGCTCAAAACTTTTTCTCACACAATGTCACTCACTCACTCACTCATGTTCTTGTTCGCTCCTGTGCAGAAGTTTTTGCTCTTAAACAAACACAATCAAAAAAACTGTTTAGCATTCACTCACAACGAGCAGTTGGTCTCTGATGACTTTGATTTTTATTTGGGATGCTGACTTTGTGGCTTTCTGCAAGAAAACTTTTTTATTTTTTTTTCCTGAGGAGCTGAAATTGGAGCTCTTATCCTGAGGTTCTGCAAGGCATTGGAATAGCTTGTGTGTCTATCTGTGTGTGTGTGTGTGTGTGTGTGTGTGTGCGTTCGTCTGTTTGTATTATGGTAGAATCGCAGAGTCAGCTACCAGCCGCAGTTAAAGCAGCTGCAGAACATTACAGAGGAATCATGTGACCTGTAATAACACATACTGTATTCCCAGCTGTGGAAAGTAAGACTGTAATTGGTATTTTGAAAAGTATGCTACAGTTTGCACAGTGGAAGACATTATCTCATCGCATTTTAAAGAAGGATCAAAGTGGATCGATGTCAAAAGGTACCACTCTTGAATCTCTTTTTTGTATTTAAAATTAGAAATATGTCACACAGGTCATCAAAGACTTTTGTCTGAGTACAGATTTTGAGGTTAAGTGTTCTGGTTGCCCTTTGACCTAGTAGCACAGGTGAATATTAGCAGAATGAACTTGAGGTCAGCCAATGCCTCGGGAAAGAAGTTGAGAGGATAGCAGGCGAGGCCCGACTGTAGAGTAACACACAGGCAGGGTTAGTGCAAGGACAACTTACTGAGGTGGAAGTGATTGATCCTGTCAGCTCAAACACACACGTACATTCACAGGCGTGCACGTACACACGCAAATGGACAGATTGAAAGTAGATCACTGTGCCTGGGCGTTTAACATTTAGCCCCCCCTCCAGCCTGCAAGCTGATCTCCAGTCGCGTAGATGTGCGCGCGCACACACACACACACACGCACACACACACACACTTACATCTAAGTACACAGTACTACACACACATGCACAGTCAAGCTCACCATGCTTATTAGTAGCTAATTGATCCACGCTTAATCTGCTCTGATGGTTTGTCAGCCTGACAGTTAATCTAGCGGCCATCATACACAGTGGGGGTGCAGTGAAGTGGCTGCAGAGACCTGGTCCTCAATCAGATTACACGTTTAACATTAAACCCACACACCAGATATCAACAGTCCTGGATCAGCTGCTGTTGCTTTATATGCACATTAGCACTGACATGATAATGAGAATTTTTAGAGTCAATTTATTGTTAAAATAATTTGTCAGCACAAATGCCAGACCGTCATGGTTCCAGCTTCTCAAATGAGCATGCTTGTCTCTGTTTTGTCACAGTAAATTAAGTACTTTTGGGTTTTTGACTGGTTGTCGGATAAAAAACAAGCAATTTGAATACATCACCCTGGGTTTTGTGATATTGTGACAGGCATTTGCTTGATTTACTTGCAGAATGAAAAAAAAAATAGTTTTGATTAAACAGTTTTTAGGGCTGCAACAATTACTTTTATCATTAATTTATTTAGTAATTATTTTCTCGACAATTAATGCACTTTTTTACATAAAATTTCAGAACATAAAAAAAGATTTCCCAAAGTCAAAAGTCAGATTGTTTCACCTGAGCAGGACTACAAGATCCAAAGACATTAAGTTGAATATCACATATGACAAAAAGTGCTTGATTAGTGACTGAAATAAGTCATTTATTATTAAAATAGTTGCCAAATAGTTTTCTGTTGATTGTATTATCAATTGACTAATTGTTTTAGCTCTACAGTTAAATTCATAATGAAATAACATACTTTCTTTATCATATCAGGTTCCTGTATATCTCTGTTTCTGTGTAATCCTGTTGTCATTTCTGTAGCATGATATATGGTGGATGGATGTCACGAAAACATCCATATAGCATGAGGTTTCATTCTTAAAGCTTAATGCATTTTACTCTATATGGTATTAAGCTCTGACGTTGATTTTAAAGACACAAGAGATCAAACAATGCATTAGTGCAGCACAGCAATCCTTTGCCATAGCAAAACGTCTCTAGCAGTAAGCCTGTAGATAATAACGTAGGATAATACCAGAGACAAGGAATCTGCAGAGCTTATCTCCCCCTCCTCTCCCATCAGGACCCTCTCCTCCCATCCTCCGTTTATCTTCTTTAACCTGTTGGGAGAATACCAGTCTGGGAAAAAGCAATCAGCTGATTTCCTCTCACTCAGCGAGGCTTTACCAACTGCTTTCCCATGAGAAAATAATAATGCGGTGGTGACAGAAACACAGAATTGACACATAAATGCAGGCTTTCCTCACTGAGTATTTCACAAGTTGCAGCATAGGTTTTAATTGGATGAAGGCTATTATCACTCTGTGATATTTAAACTAATATTATGTCCATCACCTGTGCAGTGTGAATATTTAAAGTTCATTTTAATGCTTGCAGTTAATATCTCCTAGCTGTGGGTGTGTGGTTAGAGAGCTCAGACAATAGAAGTACTTAGATGCCTCAGCAGGGACTGAGGGTTGTGGTTTGGACTGCTAAACGAAGATTAGCCCTCGTCTCTCCCTTCAGATGTCACATTACACCACTGCAGGTCACATCCTATTATATATCATATTGTATCCCTTCTACTGTAGTGTGCCACTGACCTACTAGCCTGGCTGGATTGGCTGTAGCCCTCAAGGTTTGATGCAGAGCCCTTTGCTGGCCTGGTTATACATCTGTCACAGCTCTCCCTTTACTTGGAAATGCTGACCTTATTAGGCTGCATTGTTTCTCACTGTGAAAAGAGATTTGTTGCGTCGAAGACAAGCCAGTGACAGCACATCAGCTGGCTCTAGTGTGACTAAACAGTCATTTCTGTGGTGTTTCTGAAGTTCAGGAATTTCCCAGGAAAAACAGCATGCTATATCAGGCTCCAGAGATGAGAGAATGTAGCACCTGAAATTGGTTTATGATCAAATACCTGCACAACAAAGGGCATTACGGTTAGCTTCAGCTGTACTTTGTGTTTAGTGCTCTTTAGCAAATCATCTAACACGCTAAACTACTATGGTGAATGTCTTCATCATGTAACCATTGTCTTTATGAGCATGTTAGCATGTTAAAGTTAGCATTTAGCTCTAACCCTGCTGTGTATATGTGCTACTGTGGTTGTAGACTTTTAAGGCCAAGACACACCCAACCACATCAAAGAACTAGTGGCGACGAAGGCTGACTGTTGCGTCGCCTCACGCCACCTGTGTCTCGGCCATCAAAGTTGCACCTGAACACACTGCAGTGACTACAGCCAATGAAATAACTCTCCATACCAGCCAGAGGCAGTAGTCTGTGTTTGTCATTCAAAAAAGGCAATTAAAAGACTGACAGGATGGATTCAAGACAGCAGTTCACCAGTTTGCACATTAACAACACAACCCCATGTCGAAAGTACAAATGATATTTACTGTGCACTACACAAACATCTACAAACTGTTTCTGCTAAGCAGCTCAATGGCTAAAAATAAAATCTTATTTCATGTAAAAAGTTTGTTTCGATCTCACACCCTCTTGACTTGAGCTGTTTGTTTGCTTTCCTCACTTCTGTTTCTAGTCTCGTGCGCGCAGTTGAACTGCCAATCAGAGCGATTTTTCTTACCGACAGGCTCTGATGCCGATTCAACCTGCTGAATTGGCCAAAAAACAAGTGACAATGGCCGACTTGTCCCAAAAGTGTGGAACACACCGCTGAAACTAGGGCTACAGACGGCCCGACATTGACCAAAGGTCGAGCATCAGCTAGGTGTGTCAGGGCCTTTAGTGTTGCTGCAGGGGTTCCCAGCCTTTTTGGCTCGTGACCCCTCCAAATAACCCTTCATCAACGGTTGTATATGTTGACTGATTGTGACCAGTTCAGTTATATAAAAAAAAAATAAAGTTATCCCATAAATCACAAGAACAAAATTGCAAAGATTAGAGGAAAGTAATAAAAAAAAAAAAAATAATTGAAATAATTTTGTGTCACAAAATTATGTGGTTTTGTTATCGTGTTAATCATCTTGCAACTCCACAGATTTATCTTTTGGCCCATTTTGGGGGTCCAGGTTGGGATTCACTGCTCCAGACTATTATGCTTTCGTTGCATCCCCAATATATTTAAAAAAACAGAACATAATCCATTAAATGCATTTTTGAATATGATGTCAATTTTGGCACATACACACTCATTGAATATACGCGAATATTTACAGTAGAGGTGCATAAATTGCTGCAGGGTGAGGAAATTGCTGGCTGGCAGTGAGGAAAAATTGAGGTCAGCGCAAAAACCAGCAGTGAAGAAGCCTGGGAAGCCAGGAACTCTGTGAGGATCTTAGAGGTGGAGTCAGATTTTGTTATCATTCATGAAGGAGTCCCCAGAATCACAGTGTTGCTGTTTCAAGCAGAACTGTGGCACCAATCCTTTGTCTACTGTAAGTAGTCTAGCAGGTGGAGATTTTAGGTTTCCAGAAACGTGCCTTAGTCTCTCCATGGCCCTGCAGTACAATGACTTTTCCAGACATTCCCAGAGGGGAACGAAAAACTAACATTGCAGTGTGTGTGTGTGTGTGTGTGTGTGTGTGTGCTAAAAAAAGATTTCGTCAGTTCAAGGCAAATTGCTGTAACAGCCCTCATCTCTGTCTTTGCCCATTTCTCCCTTTTTAGTGTTCAGTTCAGACATCTTCTCTCACGTCTTCTTCCTTTTCTGTCTCTCCAGCCTCTTTTTTTTGTTCCAAATTTACCCCCCCTCACTTCTCCTTCTGTCTGCCCCCATCACCCCTACAGTCTTTTACACTTCAAAGCTTTTAGAGGGTGTGTGATCTGCGTGGTGGGTCTCTAGCGCACACAGCTCCCAAACTGCATTGCTTCCGTTTACTCCATGGAGGTGTGAGTGTTTGATGGTGTGCAAATGTGTTTTTCATGGTATCCATCAAACACCCATTTAACAGCCACTATTTTTTGTCCTCAAATAGCTGGAGAGAGGAACACAATTTGTGTATTTGTGTGCATCTGTCTATACAGGAAAACTAAATCATGTGGTCTGTCTTTGTATCTGGTTTCTGCTTATATCAGCTAATTTGCTTCCTGTATATTCAACCCACTTCCTAAATTGTCCCCTTCTGTGTGATAAGGACTGAATGAATCAAAATCAGGTTGACAGAAAAAAATCACAACATGAACTTTATTATGAAATCATACATTTCTTTTTCTCAATTTTCCCTTTTCTCTCCAGTCCATTTTGCTGCTTGGCGCTGTGGCGTTGCTGTGTTTGGGCCTGGACCTCCTCTTCCTCCTCTTCTACTCATTCTGGCTCTGCTGCCGGCGACGCAAGAGTGACGATTCCTCGCACTCCCATACGCACTCTCAGCAGCCCAGCGCTGACTGCTGCTGCACCGCCTGGTGCGTCATCATCGCCACGCTGGTCTGCAGGTGAGAGGTTATCCATATAAGAGTAACATGTCTGTACATTTATAATAAAGTCACATGTATTTGAAGGTGTCCTCCTGCAACTGCTGCAAGTGTAGGATCTGTTTTATTAAAAAGGGTTGAGTAAATTCTCCCTGAGTAAAGGAATTGCCCTGTAGCCACACGAGGAGTTTATAACTTTTCTCTCAACATTGATACAGGATGATTGGCGCCTGATTTGTTGGCTCTGTATAATACAGGGTATTACTGCACTGTAAAATCTGACAAATTGATTTCATCCAAAAATCTAGGAAACTGATTTTCTTGAAAAAGCTAAGTAAATTAACTATTAGTCTTAACTTATGTTTCATATTTAAATGTTAAGTTTACTTCAAATTTAGTTGTATTTGCTTACTTTTGTTACTGCAACTTATAAATGACAAGTGAAATTAGATTATTCTTTCAAAGTGTGTATAGTTGTTTAGACCATATAACTAAAACTGCGCAAGAGAGCCTCTATGTTTGTTCATGTAGTTACCCAATTAACAGTATGTGCTCCCAGGGCAATGTCACTTTCCTTTTATTAATAGTTATGTTTCCTTTCACCTGTTTTTATGCAATTTTAAAATGTGCACATAAAAAACTGTAAGGAAATGCCAGAGAAAAGGCAATTTCACAAAAAAAGCTTTTTACAATGCTAATGGGAACAATCTTTTCATGTTGAAGCATTCATGTCACCATTACGCTTCCACTCCACCAGCCGGAAAGGTAGAAAATAGAGGGGTGTGAGGGATCCAATATCTGCAGTCACCACTGTCCCTATCACCCTAGCAGCTGATTAACAGACTTCATTGTAAATATAGATGGTAACAAACAAATACAGGCCGTGCTGGCTTGGAAATAAAATGTTATATCAGTTACTGGAGCTCACTTATTTGTACAATCCTGTAATGTTTTATTTTGCAGAAATTTCAAACACTTGCTTAAAACTTACTCAACATTTTAATATATACAAAACTAGTCTGCCTGACGTATAGTAAACTGTGTTTTGCAGTTGTGTGGAATTACTAATTTTTAGTTCAGTAAAAGAGGGATGTGCTTATGTGTGAGTTTTGGGGAAAATAAGGGATACTGAACAGAAGGGAGGGTAGTCTGAGGAAACCCTTTAAAGACTGTTTGATAATGTCAAAAATGTACTTCTATCCAGCAGAAAACAGGGCTGCTTTTCTCTCTTTTTGCAAAGCCAACATTTTGAAGATACAAGGTTTTCACTGGGCAGCAGCCATATGCACTGCACATACTGTAATGACTGTAAATCTACCTACATTGCACCAATCAAGTCCACTCAGTCTTGTTTAGCAAGAGAGCCCATGTGGCGCGACTGGGAGCCAGCCAAGTGGTTACACTCCACTGTTAGTGTTTATCTGACTCTGAGGGCTGTGTACACTCAGAGATCTTTCACCCAATCGACCCGGTAACAAGCCGGAGTGTATTTTGACCACAAATACTGGGCTGCGTGGACTCTGCTCTTCATCACCCACACAAACATAAAAACCATTCCTCTTTCATTTACTCCCTCATCACTTCTCTATTTTCCCTCTCCAGACATTTTCACCCTCTCTTCCCCTTTTTCTTCATCTCTGTTAGTCTCCCTCCGTTATTTATTATTTCTCTCTGATCGGCCTTCTCCCTGGCCTAGAAAGGTTGCCATGGAGACAGAAGCAGATTTGATGCAGAGACGAGAAATGAATTATACAGTCAGGGGGAGCTATGTCTGTGTGTGTGTGTGTTCGCGTGACTCAGTGCTGAAGCCTGTTTTTTGCAGCTTTTAATATTTTATGATTAGCTATAATATTTCGTATTGAATATTTGATATGGATCTGCACGTGTGTGTGTGAGAGAGACAGAGAGAGAGAGTGTATGTGTGTGTGTGCTTGCGGGTGTGCTCATTTGATTCTTTGTCCACAATTTAATATGACATCATACTTTATTTTTGGCACCACACCAACCACATGTGGACTTCCTCCATTTGTGTGCAGGTGCAGTGTGTTTAGACAGAAGCTGTATCTTACTGGGTTGTTTACTGTTGTGTTACACATGTGCAGTATGTGTGCTGAAAAAAGGATTTTCAATTAATGGATTAGTTCATCAATGGAAAATTAATCAAAAGTTTTAATTATTAATATTAATAAAAAAAATCCCAGTTCCAGTTTCTCAGGAATAAATTGAACATATTTGGGTTTTAGATTGTTGTCACCTTTTATAGGCAGTTTTGTGACTTGTCATGTTACAGCACTATGTGAAAGAACTTACACGGGTACTCTGAAGTAACTTGGAATAGCTATCAGTATCTACTGCAGGAAACAAAAGCACTGCCATTCTTCTGTTTTGGCTGTGCAGTAGTTGATGCGCTTCCTGTGTGCTGTAAATCCACCCTTCATTTTCATAGTAGATCCTATCCGGTGGCAGACAAAATTGCACAGTGAAAGTGAGGCTTATAAGGAACCCAAGGAACCCACCATCTAAATGCAGATGGTGTCATTATTCTACAGCCATTACATTGTACAGTCAACATTTACTTCATAATGTTACATTAAAGGAAAAAACTTTACTATTTCTGCTTTAAAAAATGATAGAGATTACATACTAATGAAACCAATTAGGGATACATCAATTCAACTTTTTGTCTCCCAGTACTTATTCTGATACCTCAACCAGTGTTCATTTTCCCCCAAATTTAAAAACTGTATGTCACACTGCTCATTGTAGCTTATTGTAATCATTGTTAAGTGAGGTGACTACAATGAAAAAGAGAGTATTGGAAGTTATAATTATCAAGATTTTGGTCCTGGTTGATTTGTGAACACCCATGGTTACTGGTGGTGCAGGTAGGGAATTTAAATCCGGCATGGGAACTGTGAACATCGCCAGTAATGATCAAGGCTACTAAACAGAGATGTTATCACAGAATGTAAATGCATTCATTAACTGTGAATAAATGTCAGCCATACTTAGTATTGACAACAGTGTTTGATATCGTAAAAACATAAAGGATTTTAACTTTGATGTGGATAGGCTATGAAATGACTGATACCTGACGTGCTAGTTAAAGTCAGTATGGGCCCCAATTCAGAACAGATTGGTGCATCCCTAAAGATAATCATTAGTATGCCACCCTCGTCTAACTGCTGATAACATTTTGTCACTTGTGTGTAGTCAGTAGTGAGGTTAAGTGTTAGTTAGTTAGTTTGTGTACTCTGAATGCGCTGAAGTACTGAGTAGGAAATAAAACATGTCATTTAGCTCTACCACTAATTGGATGCTTTTATTTTGGATTCAGATGAATCAATGTGGTGTGGACTTGAACTCACCATGGACCCAATTCTGACTGAATACAACATTTACTCTCTCGACTACTGAGCTCCAGCTGAGTGCATTTTAGTGTGCTCATTTAGGTAGAGCAAAGCATTTTTAGCATTGCGATGTCAGTCTGTTTCACCTGAAAATGGACTGAAGTAGAGACTCAAGCGGCGCTCAGTCTTCTTTAGTTAGCATCATTCAGAACAGGTTGCTGCTTCTCAAAGGAAAAATGATGTTGTAGTGATCTATGTGTGTTTTTCTATGTGGGAGCTGTTTTTAATCAGTGCTAAGCTGGACAATGTGTGCTGTCAGTCATTTGACTTATGAACCTTTGCCTTACTGCCCCCCGTCCCTTTCATATCTCATATCCTAAGCTGTTGGTTAATAAAGTCATGAAATCCCCCTGATAGGAGCAGCAGGTATTAAACCAGTGAGATGAAACTCATAGAGAGAGGAGGACAGAAAGGAGGGATGATGTGAAGTAGGGAGAGAAAGCTGTTGCAGGCAAGATGAAAGAAGAGGATGATCCAACAGGAGTGGAGGGAGATGATTTACTATTAAAACTGAGATGACATGGAGGATGGAGTAAGATGGTGGGAGGCAGGGATGGATGAGGAATGGACAGAAAACAAAGAAGATATTTATATTCCAGCACATTAGTATGCCTCCACGCCTTTATTCATCTTTATTCTGTCCTCTTGTCAAGTCCATTTCCCTCTGTATTTGTTGTTTTATGTCACATGTACACATAAAGTCCGTCGTAAAGCTCCGAAACACATCCACACACACCTAAACAATGGCGTGTGTGTGTGTAAACCAGCTGTAACGCGGGGCTACTCAAGATCTAATGGGCTAGAATGAATTGCCTTAACAATGGCCATAAATATCCCTCTACAAATCTGTCTGTTGTTAGTGTGCAGACAGAGACATCATCAATACAAAGAGTGCAGTCATACACACACATGCGCACATGCACTCATACAGTACACAAAGACAGAAGAGGGGGCTACAAGAGCTTTGCAGGGTGAGTGAGAAAATAGGAGCATGGTGAGGAGGGGCTGAGTGGGGAGGGAGGCTTAGATGTGAAGAAATAGAGAGTGTAAAGAAGATTGTATTGGGGGTGATGGTGGTGGTGCTGGTGGTGTTGGGTGGGCAAGGGGTTGGTTGTGGTGTGAACATGGTTAAGGAGTACAAGAGTTTGGAAGAAAGGGTGTTGAGGCCCCGAACCTCAGATATTGTAGCATGTGTCATGTGTGAATGTGGATGCAAAGCTGCAGAAGGATCATATTATGTGCGGTCTGGTGACCCAATTATTGTGTAGACTCTGAGTGTGTGTGTGTGTGTGTGTGTGTGTGTGTGTGTGTGTGTGAATCATTCCTGGTAGTCCTGTGCCTGCTGGAGGCCGGAGGGTGACACCAAAGCAAGGACCTCAGCACCGCCTGTTACTGGTTAAAAGGGGAACTGCACTTAATAACTTAAGGGGGAACACCACCTAAATTAAGAATTCTGATTGGCTTAGAAAAGGTGAAATGAGTATGAAATAAAATAGAAAAGTGAAATAAATATTTGTGAACATGAGGTACTCTCTCTCAAAGCCTGAAACCAGAGAAGTAAGTCTCAAACTTGTGATGTCATAGGGTATAAGGGCCAATCCCAATTCTCTTCCCTTAACCTTACCCCTTGGTTTCAAGTGCACTCGCCAGATAGATTCCCCTCAATGATGAAGGGGTAGTGTTGAGGGTTAGGGAATTAAACCTACAAATTGGGATGCCACTTCATGCAAATTAGCGTAACAGACATGTTCACCTACGTCACATGTATTGTCGATGTAGGCTTCTTACACAGAGAACTCTGTAGATATTCATGTCATCGTGAATTAGCGACTTTCAAGCATTCATATTCTAACTCAGCGCTTACAGATAACAATGCATTATGCAGAAACATAACACATTCCAACATAATTTGGAATTTTTGCATGCTTATTTGCGAAAATAGTACTTACAAATGTGCGATGGCTTTCTCATGGAGGCTGCCATCTTCCTGGAAAACTTGCCTGGCTGGATAGTTTTGCAATGCATCCTGGGAAATTCAGTCTTCCCCACAGTTGAGATGGGTTCATAAGTATGCATCGCACGGTCCTTCAAATTAGGTGGGGGTTTTAAGGGCTGAAAAGCACTTCCCTAAAGTTTGCAACACCCTAGTCCTTCGCGGGAATGTGCAAAAACAAGGGCTAGGGCCAGTTTTGAGGGGAAGTGTGAGTATTGAGACGGACCCTTTAAGTCTTACCTTTATATCCTCCTGGAATTTTACCAGGGTATACGGTACATGATGGTATCAATGTGTGGTGCTACTCCCCCCACCCTCGCGTTGCAGAGGCTTACTTTATGCAAGCTCTCTTACTATTTTCAGTCTAATAAATACACAACACACTCACAAAATATCAAGAAAGATAATATTCTTACAACTATTTTGCTTTTAAAACAGAGCAATACATCCATGCACCTTCTGAATTCAAGTTTCTCTCTTTCACCAAACTACTCCAAGTTTAATTGCCTCGTAACTCACAGGAAAAACACACTTTATTCAAACTCGGCAGAAACAGTGTAAAGCTCACAAAAACTGTCTTGGTTAGTCTTATTCGCAGTTTAGTTAGTTAGTTCATCGTTCCAACAATCACAAACTCTGGTTTGGGTGAAGTAGATCTGAAAATAAGAACATGGTGCGGGTCGGTGTTGTCTGGCTGTTAACAGTCTTTTAACCTTCTTGTCAGCTCAGCTGCCTGTTGCACCAGCCTGACCCCCTGTGTTGTGTGATGTGCACTACCTGCAAAACATCCTCATTACAGCCTCTCCAGTTTGAAGTTAATAGTAAGATGAGGGTCTGTATTTTTGAAGGTAGTGAAAATCATACCATTGGGGTTTCTTAATACCCTGGTATACCAAAATACAGTAACAACACCCAAGCCTAATCTGCAGCTGCTCCATAGACAATGAATGGGAGCCTAATTTTGTAGATGCACAGAATGTTTGTTTTCTTTTTCAAACCTGAATAGTCTTAATCTACTGTAATGTTCTCAGATCTGAAACAGAACATGTCCCCATATACGCAGAACATTCCCCTGGCTTTTACCATTTATTGTCTGTGGAGCAGCTCCAGACTTACTGTCTACCCTATGACATCACAAATTTGTGTTTTAGCATTCTAGGTTTTGTATTTGTGAGAGAGTTGTTCATTTTTACCAATATTTATAGACTGTCTGACTGTCTTAGACCACAGGAACGACATGTAGTAATTTTGAAAAAGGGCGTAGTTCCCCTTTAACTGTCTTTGCTGCTGCTTTGTTGTGTGTGTGCTTGTGTGTGTATCACTGTGAGAAAAGGAAAAAAAAAAATATTATTGGACTCATTCATCCATATTGATGACTTTGATGCCATCCGATGGCTGAATTAGTCATTGTGTTAACACTTGGCACTTTCTGTTTTCTGCCCCCCAGCGCTGGCATTGCTGTAGGATTCTATGGAAATGGGGAGTCGAGTGATGGAGCCAATCGTTTGGCATACTCCCTCCGTCATGCCAACCGCACTGTATCTGGGGTGGAGAAACTGGTGAGTTACCTGTTGTGTCCTTAAACTTTTCTTTTACAATACAATTAAAAAAAAAGTGATTTGTGGCACTTTCAAGGTTAATTCTCTTTCCTGTGAACATCCAGGTGTCAGAAAGTGCCCTAGCCTTAAACCAGACAGTGGAGGAGAGCTTGGTCCAGTTGGAGACAGCTTTCCAGGAGCAGACAGACTATGTGTCCATCGTCCAAAAGCTGCAGGGACAGCTGGACGAGCTGGTAAGGCTGATGGTGGATGTTCCCTTCTGGTCCAATACTGACATTTCCCTGGAGGACTTGGCCCGCAAGACGGAGGCTTTCGATTTTTACAGGTCGGTTCTAACAAGTAATGTTATGTGTTTTGTAATGCAAAAGTATTTGCTTGTTTAAGCTAAGCTGTTTGGAGGGAATTCAACCAACTTATAATATGATGTTTTTACAGTACACTACATACAGTATTATGCAAGAGTTTTGGTAGATAATCCTTTCAGAATAGCTGGAGGGTGTAAGTTAAAATCATTAAAATGAATCACTCTGACCCGAACATTAAGGTGTTGACCAATCATGGCATCAATGCTGAAACACTAGAAAGCCCAGATAATAAACTAATCGCCACTTTTCCTTGATAACCTTTTGATTCTGAGTCTAAAACCTTCAACAAAAACTAGCTAGTGATCCGACTGTGACCCTGGTATATGGGAAATGTCCTACATGGTGTATGTTAAAGGAACACTTCACCCACAAATTGATCATTTATATATATCACTTACTCACCCCATGTTACCTTATATTAGTGAAGAAAGTGAAGAAAGCCTTGTTTTTCTGGCATGCCTAGAGGGGGCCGTGTTTAACAACAGCAAAACTAAATCACAACATCTGTTTACAAACTCTCACACAACTCGTACAGTATAATCCAAATCTCATTTATCCAGTCGTGTGCTCAGTACTTTCCAAACACATGCATTTTTGCCAAAACCTTGTTGCTGTTTGTAACACTTAGGCATATCAGTAGCGCGTCCGGGCAAGCGAGTAAGTTTGAGCTCTGCCTGTACATTCCATTGACCATTCCATTGAGTTCAAACACACATGCTTGCCCAGGCGCGCTACTTGTTCATGCCTGAGACTCCTTATGGGTAAGTGTTTTAAATAGTAAGGTTTAAACAACAAAAAACATGTGTTTTGGAAGTACTGAGCATACAACTGGATAAATGAGACGTGGATTATACTGCACGAGTTGTGTGAGAGCTTAAAAACAGATGTTTTGATATAGTTTTGCTGTTGAAATTTCTCCATTTTTGGATTCTTTGTTCACTGTGGTGGCATGTAGGAAAAACATTTTCTCCACAAATTCAATGTAGTGCAGGATGATGATTGATATACAAATTCTAATTTTGTGGGTGACGTATTCCTTAAAAGGATTTATTAGCTCAGTCCCAAAAGACTACCACTGTCTGCGCTGTGGCTGATGTGTTTTGTTTCTGTGTAGCTAGCATGTTGAAAGTGTTGTCATGGCATATCCTCTGTTAGTATTATACACTGTGGTAAATCTGTTTACAGGTGGTTGGGGTATCTTGGCCTGCTGCTGTTTGATGTACTTATTTGTCTCCTGGTGCTCTTCGGCCTTATACGCAACTCAAGAGGCACTCTGATTGGGTGAGTTACCTACATCATACCCCAAAAGTTGCTCCTATTGGACAATGCGAATCCCTTTCTACACTGTGAATCTGTGTGTGTTATAACTGTGTAACACATGTCACGTTGGTAAGCTGAATCTTGACTTAAAAAATATGTATTTTCGTGTCCTTCAGAGTGTGTCTGCTGGGGGTTTTGACTCTGATAATCAGCTGGGGGTCTCTCGGCCTGGAACTGGCTGTCGCTGCTGTAAGTGTAACCATGGCAACATTGCCGAGCTCTCTGGCTCTGCAATGATGTAATCTTTTTCCCACTGCTTGAGCGAGTATGTTCAGTGTGGATGGTACTGTAGCCTGATGTGCCATGTGTGCTTACCCTCTTACAGTCAGCCAGCGACTTCTGCGTTTCCCCGGATACCTACATTACCAGGGTAACCAAGGAAAATGCTGTCATCAACCAAGGTATGCAGAGAAAAGAACACAGAGCCAGTAAACTGGTAGCAGTAAGGGTTTTATGCCAAGACACAGCGTTTCCAAACCTTTTAGGCCTGTGAATTAAAAATACAGACCTGTCATATGTTAAATATATCCAATTGATATTGGCAGTTCAACCAAAGGCACATTTTACTTATCAGTTGTTTTATTTAGATAATTTTGATTGATTTTCTTAAGAAAAAGCTCAAAGCTTCTGTGTACCATTCCCATTTCACAACTGCACATACTTATGAACACTGGGAATGATTTAAGTTCTCCACTGCTTTGGAAAGATGACACATTTCATAATGTATGATTAGAAGTAATAATAATAATGATGTGTGTTATTTATAGAGTGCTTCTTAGGGTACTCAGAGACACTCTACATAGGTGTTATTCAATACGATGCTGGAACATAATGGAGGAAGGAATAGTCGATTGGTCAACCATCAATTGACTGCTCACAGGCAGATACTGTAGTTTGACAAATAAGCAGAAGCATTTTGAATTGACTTCAGCTTTCACACTGACGGTTGAATCTCACCCTGACAAGTTGCTTCTATTTTAAGACACAAGTGTGTGTGTTTATGTGTGTATCCAAGGGGGTTGTGTTTGACTGACACTCTGGTATCTAAAAGCTCTTACTCTCTCTCTGCTGACTGCAATGCATCAGCAATCCTGCATCGCTCTCTTCCTCCCGCCTGTCCCAAATGTGAAAAAAAAAGCATATTCAGAGCACATTTTGGCTTTTTCGCTTAGGATCATTATCTGATTTGTTCTCTCTCTTCATCCTTTTATATCCCTCTTTACTTCTCAATTGCTCCCTTTCTTCCTCTCCCTCCCTCACTTCCCTCTTTGCACTCATCTAATGAGTTCTGTTGTCTGTCAGTTGTTTCCGCTCTGTAGAGCACAGATGTTGCCTCTGTAACACACACATATAATACGCAGACACACAAACACACACACAGCATTATGCCCGAGTAATACTGCTAACAAGCATCCATAGAGATTCTGGTTTCAGAAAGTCTTGGTACATACAGTGATAGTGTTTGCCTTTTGTTCATTAAACTGTAAGTTTTACAGGGTTCCTGCAGATCCTTAAAAAGTCTTAAAAGGCACTGAATTCATTAATATAAAAACTAGGCCTTAACTGGTATTAAAAAGACTCAAGGCAATCTTTCAAAGTACTTAAAATGCTAAGATATGGGAAGTTGGATTTATTTAAATTGTTTTTTTTTCCTGACATTGCATTGTAAAATCTTAAAATAAATGGTAACATCTATTTTTCTTAAATAATTTACTAAATGCCTCTCACATTAACACCACACAGATTAGGATAGTGGAGCCAACAACACTTGTATTTTATTGGTTGAGATGCTCAGAGCAGAGGATTCACTCTGTCTGCTACAGTAGCTAGCTGTTACCTTACTCCGGACGACACAGGGAGGTGCAAATTCAACAAAAATTGGCTATTTAACTAAACAGTAAACAGTTACAGTAAACACTATATGCAAAAATTTTCCCAACCCTACATAACTGATGTGGTTTATGTTTTTTGTTCTTCAGTTCTGGTTATTGTAAAACTGTATTTCAATTTCAAGTGGCACTAAAAACGTCTGAAGTCTAACTTGCCTCAAGTTGTAGGAAATTTAATTTTAAGTGTCTGTATTATCTTTTTATAAATGTGTATGTATTGGTTCATTCCCAGATATCCTGCAGTATTACCTGAGGTGCAACTCTGGACAAATTAACCCCTTCCAGCAGGTAACTCCACCCTCTTGTCTTTTGAATTTTAGATTTTTATAGAATGCATTCTGTTTGCTTCTTTTATTTCAGGCGATTCACCTGCTTAAACCTGTAAAACAACCAAAAGATGCATTTGTTTGTGTCTCTCTGTATGTTTTTTAGAGGCTGTCAGGGAGTCACAAAGCATTGGTGGAGATGCAGGATGATGTGGCAGAGCTACTGAGATCAGCAACACGTGATTATGCCAACACCAAGGTGTGTGTGCGCTTGTGTGTGCAATGATCTGTAGGTCTTTATTTTCACGGATGAGTGGATTTGCGTTAGTGGGAACGTGTCATGAAAGTGGCAGTTACAAAAGCACCACAGGTTTATGTGGTGTGTGAGGATTCACATGAAGGCGGATATCTATATTTGAATGTGCATGTGTAAACCTTACTTCTTGTGTCCAGGGGAGTCTCGACCAAATCCAGTTTGTGTTGAATTCCACTGAGGTTGGTCTTCACCAGCTGACTGCTCTGGTCGACTGTCGCAGCCTACACATGGTGAGTCAGTGTGTGTGTTGTGTTAGAGGAGAGAACTCAAAATCCACACTTTCTTAACAACTGACTCCTCTTCCTCTCTGTGTAGGACTACGTTCAGGCATTGACTGGGCTGTGTTATGACGGGGTGGAGGGTCTCATCTACCTGGTTCTTTTCTCTTTTGTCACTGCTCTGATGTTCTCCTCCATTGTGTGCAGTGTGCCACACACCTGGCCTGGCAAGAGGTAACACACACACATACAGTCTCTCTCACCAACACACACAAGACATGCACAAGCATTTGCATCGCTAAATCTCTCCTCAGTTAATCTGTACACTAACAGCTAACACGTTACTAGCTCTAACCTCTCTTAATTGTTGAGCTAAACTCATCTTATGACCTGAAAACAGTGGAAAGACCCATAAAGAATATATGGTGCCCATGCATGTCATTCTTTAAGTGTTTTTGCCTCCTGAGCTGTTTTATCCTTCCGTACGTCTTCCTGCCTGTCTTTGCATCCATCCAGTTTTCTCTGCAAGTTTTGTTTATTTTATTGTTTGCCGTTAGCACCGCCAGTCTGGCTGATTGTTTGTTTCCATGTTTGTACTTATCTCTCATTTTCTTTTCTCCGCTGTGGACTTGGAGCACCAATGTTGTGTTAGATTGTGTATCACCACGTTATTTTTTTTTTTTTTTTTTTTGTCCGTGCCCCACTTCCTCCTTCTGTTCCGTCCCTTCCTCCTCTTTCCCTGTCCTGATTTGGAAATGCTTTGGGCTTCAGCGAATGATGGTGGATATCGAGGAAATTAAACGACCCTATGGTCCGATAAAACAGCCTGTTTAAATAGCATTCAAGCAAACAATTATTTGGTAAAAATCAGTGCAAAAAGCTCTAGACTATTTCATGCGGTGATGGGTTTCACTCTGGTGAACGGTTTGAAGTATGAAACACCGCTGTGCCACAGTAGTGGTGTTTTACGCTTGTTTGTTGGGTGTGAATTACCAGCAATGCTAATGCATGGCCCAGCAGGTATAGAACAATAATCCCTAATGTCCCCGAATTCAGCAAGAACAACTGCTCATGGGGTTGGTTGCATATTAGGCTGACTGTGCTGCAACTGCTGAGTCTGTTTGATGGGCTGCACAGCTTAGCTCTTTTTTGGTTGCCTGAGTGAAACACCTCCATCTGGTGGCCAGTCAATGCAGTGACTACTTTTGTGCCCTGCAAAAAATGTTCTTTATACAGCTCCCTCCCTCTTCACTGATGTGACCCTGTTAGTATGTTGACAGCTGATATAGACTTCCCAAAAACAAGAAGGAAGATGAAAAAAATAGTCTTTAACAGACTCTACATATGCACATGTACATGTATTTTGTGGTTGACCCATACATCGTAGAAGCCAGTACATTTCTGTAGCCAGAGATCCAACTTCCAAATCAGCACATATCTTATTTGATACCTCATTCTGTTACGTTGCTGGCCGTTTTACATTTTGACCATTTTATGTCTGAAAATGGTTTGCCCAAACCAGCCATGTTATCTCCTTTTTTCCTGACGTTTTTGCTTTAAGTTTCATGGAGCACTTAGTGATGCATGAAGTAATTTGAAGAAAATGGATCTTTGAAATTTGACTCCGCTCAGACACTTTGAAATGGACAGTAACCATCAGGACCGAATCCTCTATGTCAGTAGAGGATGTCTGCATGAAGAAAATGACTGCATGTTTCTACGTATTAAGAGAACTTTGAAAGTATTGAGGAATCTACTATTGTCATACAGTTTAATATTATGTAACCACACACAGCAACAAAAAATAGCTTCATGGGTCCACTCTGGGCTGTGTAGTAACACTAGAGACCTCGCTGTACTTGTAGTGGACCTGTTTGTAGATGAATGCTGCCCATGTTCCTTTTCTTCTTGTTCAGCTGCTTTGGTGCTGAAGGCATGGCCTTACCCAGTCTTTTGTATCAGGGGACTCATAGTACAAGTACACCTTCCCCTCTCCTAACCTCCTCTTCAACCACTTGTTTACACTATGTTGTCTCTCTCGGATCTCCCTCCCCTCTACCTTTTCCCCTCCTATCATCATGCCCTCTCGTGCCCTGCCCTTACCCTGACCAATTGAAGGACGGATGAGGAAGACGGAGAGGACGAGTCGGGTGCCTCACGGGGCGGTGTGCACGATAACCTGTACCGCGTTCACATGCCCAGTCTCTACAGCTGTGGCTCCAGCTACGGTAGCGAAGCTAGCCTGCCCGCTACAGCCCACACTGTCAGCAATGCCCCCGTCACTGAATACATGTGAGTTAGCACCTACCGCTAGCTAGAGGCTAGCAGGATCAATACACTGCCTGCCATAAGTAGCTGATGCTTGCCCCCTCGTGACTCAGACTAGCAGCATAGCAACGCTCACTGCCTGTGATACTGTGAGTTAGAATAGCTAGTTTTTTTTTGCTTTATATGGCTCGCATGTCCCTCGTGACACAGTGTCAGCAGTATTTCACTCAGTAAGTCAAAATCCTTCACTAGCTTTCCCTTTGATGACAGAAAAAAAAAACGCTGCTTGCTGTATCAGCCAGCCTGCCTGTTTCAGTCCATAATGTTAGCAAAAACCCTTTTAAAAGAGAATTCACTCGCAGTAGTATAAGTTAATACTTTTACCCTGCTTGCTACATGTTACAGTCTGCCACAGGACTGCTTGCTCTGAATACAACAAAGAAGAGAAATAAGCATATACATCTTTAGTCTGCTACTGCTTGCTACTGTTTTAGCTGTGAGCTAATCAAGTACTATGTACTGTTTGGAAAGAACTGTAACTGCAGCAAGAAATAGACAGTACGTTTATTCTGAAAGTTATGTGGCATTTTGAGTTTTCTGGACCATTAAAGGACCATGTTTTCCATGATTTGGGCCATTAACAAAGCCTGTATGCTTAACAGTACTGATGATTATATTCTACAGGAGACAGCAGGGTTTTAGAGTGATTTATTCCCTAACATGTAGCCAGGTAGTCAGTTTGGTTTCATACCAAAATGGTTTCAGACTCGACGCTTGCCTGAGATAGGTAATCTCCTGCACTGAATGGCATATTTGGTAATATTTGCTTTTAAGCCAAAGTTAAGCTATGATTGCATGATTATACAGTTGTGAGCAGATATTTTTTCTTTGTCGTGCTTGTGGAATCTGACATATAAGAACAAGAGTCAGCTGCCAGACTACCAGCGGCCAAAAGACCATTTTCACTTAATCCTAGGAAATCATTTCAGTATTTGACAGTGGATGTATACTTTGGAAAATGATTTGGCAGTAATATAAACTATACATTTCTAGTTAATAGACCAAAACATAGAAAACCCCTTATTTGTCCTTAAAGTTAAAGATCTCACATTTTATCTTAAACAGAGCTGTAAATACTGAACAATGATTTATACATGTTTTTATATCAAGCTACCTGGGTAAAAATACAGTTTTAGTTTAAAAACTTTGGACTGTGTAAGCTAATTTTGATTTATTTTCCTTGTGGAAACTTTAGTCATATCCTCTAGGTATGTCTTTGCGTTCATACTGTAAGTTGAACTATGTGCCTTTACGTTTTCAGACACTTAAAATACCTACCTGAGGTTTGTAGCTGTGTGACTGTTAACATCAGTGATCAGTTGTGTTGTTAAAATAACAGAAATCAAGAAAATAGCCTTTATTTGGCTTTGAGCTTGCAAGGGACACTTGAAGCTTGATGACCAAATATGTTTAAAAGTCTACTTTTTTGAAAATTCCTTTATAGTTACACACTGCCATAATTTACTTCTATACTTCAGTTAATGCCTAAGACTTGTTTCCTGTGGGCACACACCCTGATAGAAGTACTGTTTTACTGAGCCTGTGTCCCATTGTGAGACTAAATGTTTGTCTTTTGTGCATTGTTAAGAAAGAATGTTAACTATGTTGGACTGTGGCAGAGGTGTTTAACCCCTGGCTATATGGTACCAAGCTTCAGCTTAAGGCCCTGACTTGTAATTATTACTGAGGCCATTTGTCAGAGAGTCATTAAGTCGCAGACCACAAATGGACAACAGATCAACAGCTCAGCAACTGAGCTGAACAGTGGCAGGGTGACCACATGCAGTAACCTCTTATTCTATAATGCAGGAGCCAGAACGCAAACTTTCAGAACCCTCGGTGTGAGAACACCCCCCTGATTGGCAGGGAGTCCCCTCCACCCTCTGTAAGTGCACACTTTCTAGAACACACTCTCCCTCCACTATCTTCCAATACCCACTGTGCAGCTGGGAAATAACCAAAACCGCAGAGCCCACAGAGATGGCATTTTGTAATTTTAGAATGTAACGAAGGAAGCACGGTGTTGACAAATGTACTTGTATCTTACGTCTGATGTTTTTATAGCATGCTAGTGTGGATATTGGAAGGTAGTCCCCTATCCCTACACCACTGCAAGTGTCCTCTGTGCTCAAACTAGACCGTGATCATGGATCGCCTCTATGAAGGTCATTTTGGCAGCCTGGGATAACTGGACGTTTGAAAAGAAGCCTATTGTTAGTAGGATTTGCACCTGCATCAAAAGAGAGGCCTGTCTCTTTTGATATAATTGTTGGGTCATGTTAGACACAAAGTTGTCCTCTATTTCTGATGTAAAAAGTCTGGTTGGTTTCACTGTGGCTGTCAATTCCATGTGAGGAGAATTTGTAGACCATGTAACAACAGATGATCAGCTTTGAGGGATTTTTTAAAATATTTAGAACTGTAATGCATAAACTTTTTTCTTCAAAACCAAAAGACATAATTCTGCCTTTCTTGCAGGTGTCTGAATTGCACCTCTTTTTGTAACTATTTGCCACAAACAGGTTGATTATTCTGGCTTTGACAAGGTGCTGCTGGGCCTGTAGTTGTGGATGTTGTACCATGCAGTATCAACTGTGTACATTTGGGGCTACAATACTGTGGACTGACAAATTTTAACTCACAAATCTAGCAATATGTATTCTCCTAGGATACATTCCTTGCTCCATGTCAACTGGCCGTACTCTGCAGTGAAGATGAAAAATTTTGAGCCCAAACCTCTAAACTTCCTGCTCCCCCCTCCCCCCCCTGTTCCCACAGTGTGTCTATGTGTGCATTTTCTTGTCGAGGTGTATGTGTCCTCTGTTTCTGTGCCCCCTCACCCTTCACCATTAAACAGTAACAGGAGCACACGTCTCCCACCTCCACTGTTGAACCGTAGCGGCCGCCAAAATGGCCACGATTCATCACTCTTAGGCAGGGCTGTCGACCCCCGGGCTGCTGTCCAGAGTGCTCGCCCATCATCAGTGATCTGCAGTGATGTGGAAACCAGAGATCCTCCAACAGTAAAAAGCTAGCTGCTCAACGAGAGACCACTAACTCATACCAGGCTAACCTGCTACATCAGAACTAGAGCACTAACTACAAACCACTGACAAAATGAACCACATCTGCTAATTTACAATAACATCATCCAGACCTAATCAGCTGTTATATGATGAATGACTGTTGTAATCAAACCCCCGGCTGTCCAAATGACTGGTCAAAGTATTTCTGCTGTAACTGTTTGTGTTTGTTTGCCTCACGTCGTCATACCATCTATCTGTCTATCTATCTATCTGTCTATCTATCTATCTATCTATCTATCACTTACAACCATTTATATTGCCTGATCCAATGTACATAATTTAACTGTTAATCTGTTTCTACTTTATTCTCCACTGTAAATAAGGCTTAATTGTAATACATGCATGTTTTCCCTTCTTCTCTTGTTGTCTTTATGTGATCTTCCCTCGTGCTTCTAATTGTCTCTTCCTCTCCCGACATATTTCCCTCTGTCACCCACTTCTCTTCACTCCTCCTCCACACCCCCTCTCTCCTGTGTTCTTCGCTGTCCTCCGTCTCTCCAGTACACCTCCAGTATGAGAGCGAAGTACCTAGCCACCAACCGACCGGACCAGAACCGACGCTCCGTTCCCAACGACCAACTGGACCCGGCTAGCCGGCCTCACCCCGCTGCCCGACCACAGTCCTCAGTCCACTAGAGACCAGAACCACACCAGTCCATCCCAGTACTGCCTGAATCCAGTTTTCACAGCCAATAACAACATCTCAGTGTTCACCAGAGCTCAACCAGAGCTGTTTAAAGCACCAACAGGACCCAAGGTTTTTCAAGGTCCACTGAATTTCACCTACACTAACCGGTTCACCAGAAACAACACAGCACGTCACAACTCATCAACCGAGCACCTCAGCAAAGGACTGCACTTTGAAGGTCAACCTCTACTTCTCATCCACAGTCATCCAAAAGCCAAAGCCCATCCCGGTAGATCACGACTTCTGCTCCTCATCTTACTGGACACACACACACCCCAAGCTGATCGTTTCACCATTGCTGTGATGGAGTAGCCCTCATACCCACAATGCACAGCAACTAAAGCGCCTTGGCTCTGTCTACAGTTTCCTCTTCTGCTTTTCAACCCTCTCTCCCTCCGCTGGTTTCCGTACGCCGCCCTCCAGTGGAGACAGCTCTCACCACTCAATTCCCTGACACTGAAACATTCAGACCACACAGTCACACACAGACAAGTGCACACACACACACACAAACACACACACACACACACACACAAACACAAGCACACACACACACACACACAAGCACACACACACGCTGTACAGACCTGTAAATAGTAAACATGTGCTTTACTCTGATTTCATGAGAAGTAGACTGTTGAATTATTACTGGTAATGTGGTGTGCTGCGTGTTTATCATGGAAATTTTTGCTGTATCTCACATACACACACACACACACACACACACACACACACACACACACACATAAGTAGGCAAACGCATCTGTATAAATACTAAGCCAGTGAATCAGAAAGCCATGTTTAGATAGAAACAGTACCACCACATCCTCTTTAGCTTAACATTGTCGTCTAACTAAGACTTGAATCGTGAGCTCGAAAAGTGTGTCCACATCTCTCTCTCTCTCTCTCGTGTTGGTTTACGTGCACATACAGTACACGTGTCGATTAATGCAGTTTGAACACGAGCCAGGAATCCTGTTGTGGAATAGCTGATTTGAATTTTGGGAATTGGAGCGAGACACAAGGGACATATAGAAGGCTCAACCTGTGCCAAAAAACTCTGAATATGAGGGATGCCTGATTCTGTCCTCCTCTTCTGCTGCCTCCATGTGTCTCAAAAAAGGGAAAAAAAAAACTCACATTGAATGTTTTCCCTGTGACTGTAAACGCAAAGGGATGGAAAAGACACTTGAAAAAGGAAAACAATGGGCAGAAATTGATTAAGACTCACTGAAAACTGCGACTACACATTTGCCAGGTGCTATGGAAGCCAGTCAGAGTCCCAGGAGATGATGAGGACCGAGGGGGGACGGAATTTTTGTTTTTTTTACTTAAATGTTTTGTTTTTATTCAGGGATGTGATCAGGAATATAAAAAGCAGTAAAAATAAAACAGCTGTCCGTTATTACCGAATGGAAGTTGTGTCCCGAATCCTGAAAAGGTAATTTCCCTGATAAATAATGTTACGTAAAAGTGTTACAAAATGAAGGAAAGTGGGTGTTTTTTTTATTTTTAAAGCTTAAATTCAGGATGTGATACTGTGACCAAGTAGTATTCTGTTTCTTATTCTTTACTGTTCTGTACTTCCTTTGCTTTTATTTTGTCAACTGGTGACCTTGGAGCGACCTTTAGCCACCAGTAGTGAGTCTGTTTTTCTTTAACTTTTTTTTTTTACACACGAGCACAAATTCTCTTCAAGGTGACTTTGCGAGACGGAGAAGTGATACACACTGCCTGGGACACTGCCAGTGGTTTTCCCTCCCGCTCTTAAACTCTCTGTACAGTGTATAAAAACTGTATTCGTGAACCCGTGTGTGTGACATCACTGCAGCGTGATTGGCTATTGCTCTATCTCAGTGTTACTGTGTGTAAGTACAGTGATGTACTGTGTCTGACTGGCATCAAGCAAGGGCCAGCCTATCTAGCCTGAGTCATTTCTACACAGAAGCCACGCATGCCCTCATAAACACGCATCGAAACACACACACACATACACATGCTGTACAGACATACATACTCAATACACACACACACACACACACACACAAAACACAGTTTGTTACAAAAATCCATCCCTCCCTACTTTTGTCCTGTTTACATTCACATCTAGAGCTGTAATAACTGCACGCCCTCCCACAGCTGTGACATCCCGCTGACAACCATTTGCATTAGGGGTGATGTAGTAGATAGAAAGAGCATTTCAGAGAAACCTGGAATCTAGTGATTATTAGCTGAGTGAGCAGAGCCCTAACATCCAAACACCTTTCAACCACCATCACTGTACAGCATTTTAATAATTTTATTATTAATCAATGACCACTTCTCGTATTAGCGAGACAATCTTACATGTGTGATTTTACTAGAAAGAAAATGTCCATGTTATGGTAACAATGCTACCTATGGTCTAGTACTTTACAGTGTTTTTTGCACCATAAATGCAAACAGTGTTAAGATCTGTGGGACTAGTCACTGATTAATGGCCTTTCATAATGTTTTTAAACTCTTACAACACTCTTCATATCACAACATGTTTTTTTTATTTTTCTCTGTCTTGTAAAAATCAAACTTTAAAGATAAAATAATAGCTAGCTGTTTTGTAGGAGAATAAAGGCAAGAGCAGCGTTTTTCCTCTCTTATTAATGGTGAATGACTCTCTGTCTTGCAATGTTTTAATAAAACTATTCCAGTGTAGTCTGCGCACCTGACTGAAAGTTGTATTTGAATTCCTGTGCGAAGCTGTTTTGGTTTTAAACGGCCTGGTACAGTCTGTCTTGATGGGATAAAAAAAAAGATCTGTGGTCATGTTGAAGAGTCAGCAGTGTTTGTGTGTTCATGTGGTATTTACAGGACTTCAAGTACAGCTCCGTCCAGATGTGACAGACAAACAATGTTTTCTATGGCTGTTTTTATTTTCTGATGGTTAACTAAGATATTAATGATGTACATGTCAAAACTGTGGTAATGATATCATTCAGCCTGGAATAAATGTTTTAAAAAAAGAAATTAAAGCAACTTTAACGTACTGATCAAGACTGCGGGTTCTTTTCAATGAGTGAATGGACAGAGGCGTCCACTTGGTGTTCATCTCTTTATTGACGTCATTGTCAGTGTTTTATTGGAGCTGAGTGCACCCGAAAAGCCAAGGGGATACACAATAACAAATGTCAACTGAAAGATTAGAAAGAAACAGTTGAATCCTGGCTCGGACGTCGCCCAGGTCAGTGAGGTTTTTACACAACCATCTCTAGGGTTTACAGAAGATGGTCCCAAAAAGAGAAAACATCCAGTGAGCAGCAGTTCTCTGGGTGAAAATGCCTTGTTGATGCCAGAGGTCAGAGGAGAATGGCCAGACTGGTTCAAGATGATAGAAAGGCAACAGTAACTCAAATAACCATTGGTTACAACCAAGGTCTGCAGAAGACCATCCCTGAACCAACAACACGTCCAACCTTGAAGCAGATGGGCTACAGCAGCAGAAGACCACACCAGGTGCCACTCCTGTCAGCTAACAACAGGAAACTGAGGCTACAGTTCACACAGGCTCACCAAAACTGGACAATAGAAGATTAGAAAAAGAGAGAGTCTTGATTTCTGCTGCGACATTCAGATGGTAGGGTCAGAATTTGGCGTGAACAACATGACAGCATGGATCCATCCTGCCTTGTATCAATGGTTCAGGCTGGTGCTGGTGGTGTAATAGTGTGGGGATATTTCCTTGGCACACTTTGGGCCCCTTAGTACCACCTGAGCATGGTTTAAACACCATAGCCTACCTGAGTATTGTTGCTGACTGTGTCCATCCCTTTATGACCACAGTGTACCCATCTTCTGATGGCTACTTCCAGCAGGATAACGCGCCATGTCACAAAGCTCAAATCATCTCAAACTGGTTTCTTGAACATGACAATGAGTTCACTGTACTCCAGTGGCCTCCACAGTCACCAGATCTCAATCCAATAGAGCACCTTTGGAATGTGGTGGAACGGGAGATTCGCATCATGAATATGCAGCAGACAAATCTGCAGCAACTGTGTGATGCTATCATGTCAATATGGACCAAAATCTCTGAGGAATGTTTCCAGCACCTTGTTGAATCTGTGCCACCAAGAATTAAGGCAGTTCTGAAGGCAAAAGGGGGTCCAACCTGGTACTAGCAAGGTGTACCTAATAAAGTGGCCGGTGAGTGTATATCAGGCGATAAAGGTGATATTTAAAAATGAAATATTGATATGATAATATTACACATATGATAATGTGTAAATAAGACAGGGCCTCTTTAATCATTTCCATTTTTGCTTTGTCACCTTTCTTCAGTGCCAGCAGGTCACCTTTTCCCTATGCATCAAGTGTAATAGCTCTTTTTGTACAATTTGGTACACTTATGGTCACAGACTCTCTCTCATCCTCCCTACACATGCATTTTGAGTGTAATTCATTTCCCGGGAAAAGAGACAAAACCTATAATTAACAAAGTTGATGATGATTTCGACTGATAGCATTATTATTTTGATTATTGTCCAAATTTTCTATAGATGTCACGATAATATCATTATTGTGAACTCTTTGGTTATGATAATCATGTAGTGAAAATATGACATCATGCCTGCCCCAACTATGCATCACCAATTATGTCAAGTAGAGAAATGACTGATGGTGATGAAATGAGGGAAACACCTCCATTAATCTGGACTCAGTCTTCACAGTGATGGTGCATTTAATGTGATGTCTTAAGGTTCAGTTTATTTTACTGCAGCTGTTAGATGTAAGTATCATGTTGGGAAATCAGAACAATGTGTTATCAGTGTATTGTTTGCTAATTACCTCTCCGATGTTTATTATCAGCAGTGTTAACAGATTTTGATAGAAAAGAAGTGTCTCTGACTGATTACAGTTGCATTTTGGACCCCTGAACTGTGAATAATTCGTCCTCAGCCTCAGTCCTGTGATTCATTTAAATATACATACAGTTTCTAGTCTAAGCGTGGACTCAACCACATGACTTGGACTCAAGTCCAACTTGAGTCACAACTTTGAATGCTTTAGACTCAACTTGACAAAATCATAAAAGACTTGCAACTGAAGTTGAACTTTAACGGCAATGACCTGTGACTTCCCTTGGACTTGAACCTTTTGACTTGAAAATACTTGATACCTTCCACCCAAGACCAAAAAATTTAAGAGTGTGTTTAAAAAACTTTGTCACAAGTTCTATCTTTGTAGAAAATGTCTTACAAATTTGGGAAGAGAAAGTCATAGACATTTTTCATATATGAAATGAATCAAATACAAGACAGGACAGAATATACAAAATTCATTCTGTTGTAGTAATGGTTAAAAGTGCTGTATGAAAGTGCTATGTCGGCACTACGTTTTTATGATTAAGTTCAGTTGGACTTGTTTGACTAAACTTGTTTAAACAAATAAGTCCAAAGTTTTAAAAGCATCCATGATTTTTGTGAATTTAATATATTGTTACTCTGTTGTCAAAATGGCATTACATTTGCTGAAGAGCGTGTTAATGCTTGTTCAGGACTTAAATCTTTAAGTGTAGGACTTGGGACTTATCAGTCTTGATTTGTGACTTGCCTTTCTTAACTTGGGACTTGAGTGCAAAGACTTGAGACTTGCAAAACAAAGACTTCGTCCCACCTCAGTTATATTGAGAGTTCAGTTTTTAAGTATGAAAGCAGAGTCCAGAAGGAATCGCATTCAAATGAACTCTCAGCTGATGGAGAGATATAAAATGTGATCAAAAGAACATCAGACATACTTAAAATATAATTCTAAGGTTTAGTTGTAGGTGTGATATCAGGAGTGAACAATATTTTACCAACCTACACTGAACCTCACACTCTGAGAAATTGCCCTGTTGTCTCCACCTAGTGGTATTTACATGCAATTACATCACCCAGCAGCCACACTACTGCACATCCATCCTTCTGTAATATGGAAGGACTGTTTCAGACTGTATGTGTGTGCAGTAGCACTGGATCTAATCAGGGTCAGTTCAGTAACAAAAATGTGAATTCAGGTTGTTCAGGTTACTGCCACCATGTTTGTTTCCACTGACAGACGGTAATTACACAAGATGTCTGAAAATAGTCGTCTCAGTGTAATCACTCTGGATTTATCCAACCACAACAGTGAACCCCAAATCTATCACCTAAACATTTCACCTACAGAAGGTACAAACATGAACAAGACACTCAGAGTGGATCTGTGAAACTTGAGACTGACACTGTAGATCTCATTTACAGTAAGAAGTGTGCAGGTTGATCTCAGCCTCCAACATCAAATTCTCCACCTCTAGATATGTACTGCATTATGGACTACACTGGACTGCTCTTAAAGTTTTTTTGGTATTGCCAACAACAAGAACAAAGTCACACACACACACACACACACACACACACACACACACAGAGCATCTACTACACTGATTGCAAAAGAGCTGATTTTGTGGCATATTAGTGTAACAGCACATTTCATTTGCTGTCAACTGCACCTCACACAACACATGCTTCACTCTGTTTAAATGCTGTACAGTCAAACAAAATGTCACTGACTCAGACATTCATATATCACAGCAGCTATCTGGACTTTAAAACTTTACATTTGTACTCTCACAGACAGAGCAAAAAGCCTCAGTCAAGAAAGTCTCCACACCATGACTCAGCATACAAAGCTTTTTCACACAGGTAATCATGCTTGTCAGGCTATTTCTGGTGATGGTAACCTACTTCTGAAATGCAGAAACAGCAGGAAAAGAGGGCAGGTAGTTACACCATGTGTGCTTTACAGTTAGAGGACTACCTGGACTAATTTAATCTTGACTTGACCCTTTTAATAAAAGTGAAAAAAAAGGAAATATGGAAAATGAAGCTCATGTATTGTGAATGGGAGGGATGTTGAATATCATTTCCATCTTTGTCCCTGGTGTTTAACACAGTCCATGGACCCTTACGAAGATGTCACACCTTTAAATTACCTACGTCTAAAGGAGCATGATAACAGGTCTGTGTGTAGGTCAACAGCTGAATTTACAGCTAGCTATAAAAATGGCTCAAGACAAGCACCAGTGACTTTTAATAGACAAAACTACTCGTTGCAGTACCACATGCAGCCAGCAGGTGTCACTCAGACGCACGTTAAACCTCAGAATAACATCACAAAATCACTACTGTGTGTGACTTTGTCTAAACACTCCCAATGGTCCACACAGTCCGACATCTCTGAGTTCACAGTAGGAGAGAGGCCGTGACACACACACACACACACACACACACACAGACACACACACACACACACACACACACACAAACAGAGGCATGCAGCTAATGTTTTGGTTCTGCCTTTATCTCTCCAGGGCCTTGCGTATGGCTCCATCAGATAAGACAACAACTCTTGTTTCAGCGTTCCAGATGCAGGAGGGGGGACGGGGGGGGGGGGTCTCCAGACAGGAACCCAGCAGTTCATAAACAAGGTCAGAGGTCAAAGATGGAAGCTGTGTCCCTTACAACCCGATTTAAAATCCCCCCACAGTGCAACAGCACAAACTCTCACACACACACATTCAAATATTACAGGCCAAAACCTTTTTATTATTACATGTCTACATACAGTCCAGATACTGGAGAGAGCATGTAAGCTTCAGAAGCAACAGTTCATCATATACATTCATTTAACAAGGGACAGAATTTAACTTAATAACTTTCCTTCAGTTGTAACAACTGCTTTCAATTCACAGAAAGATAGAAGACGACCCAACATGAGTCATTTGGGGAAATCCTTGTCACACTGCTACTGTGTAACCAATGAAAAGCAGTCTAACATCACTTACATTTATTATCCACCTGTGTAAACGGATCAAGGCGGGTGATGTGCACCTTTTTCGAAGGGTATTTTGTAACAGAGGCCTCACTGGATGAGTTCAGATTGTGAAATAGTTTGGGGAATACCCGTTTTTGTTTTCTTGCCATGCGTCAGATGAGAAGATTGATACCACGCTCACATTTCACAGCAGGATCAATCATTTCATCTACCTTTCATCAAGAAAACAAATGAGCATGTTTTCCCATAACGTGAAACCTTTTTTTCGGGATGTGTTTTGAAAATATGATGAATAGCAAACAGCGGAAATAAAACAGCAAAGTGCTCAGTCATGATGATATACTTCAGAGAAAAGATAATACTGAACACTGACATGATAAAACTTAAGATCAAAATCCCCCACGCCTAGTCACGCTGACGACTAATGAATGTTGTTCCTTCATCTGTTCACTGTAACAGCGTCATGTATTGAAACCAACCTGATAAACACTGGAGCATGGAAGAGGCGCAGGGTGGGAGACCAAGTAACTTACATTCAAAAAAATTAATCTTTCACAGCAGAGAAAGTGGAGACAGGACAGTGACAATGTAGGAGAGTGTGAAGGAAAGCAGAACAAGCTACATTAAACAGCAGCAGGGGATATTAATCTTAATCTGTCTGCTCGTCTGTTGGTCCAGCACTTTAGTTTATAGTCAAATATCACAAAAACTATCAGGTTTAATGTCAATAAACTGACATTTACGGTCCCACAGGATGAATGCTGGGGATTCTTTGACTTATCCCACCCCACAGGATGAGGGTAATCCCAGGTTAGTACAATGTGGGTCTTACTTTCATGGTTTGGGCCATCATTTCTTTCCCCAGTAATAAAATTGTCACTCAACATAGTAATAACAAAAATCTGAGATTGTGGCAACATTGCTAAAAAAGTTTTGGAGTGACTCAGGTTTTAACTGTACCCTTTCAAGATTAGTCGATCCTCCCTGGAAGAGCAAATGAAGGCGAACAGCGTGTTCACGGTAGTTTACGATGACTTCATGGTTCAGCTTTGACCTGTTCTATTTACTGTAGTTGTGCGATGGAATATTAACATTTCAGCTTGCACACTTTCAGTTTCACTTACACATAAACTAGTTTAGAAAATTTGACTTAAAGGAATAATCTGACATCTTGAGAAATAGGCCTTTTCGCAATCTTGCCAAGAGTTGGATGAGAAGATTGATTCCACTTTCATGTTTGTACGATAAACATGCAGCTACAGCAGGCAGTGGGTTAGCTTAGCTTAGCTTAGCACAAAGTCTGGAAACAGCGGGAAACAGCTATTCTGGCTCTGTCACAAAATCTGCCTTCCAGCACCTCTAAAGCTCTCTAATTCAATATCTTACATCTTGTTTGTTTGGTCCCTATAAAAAGTGTAAAAATGACAGTGTCATCAACAAACAGCCTGACTGCTCAAGTTTCTTGTCATGCCTGACTTTGTTGTAGCTTCGTCGCCTTGTTCAAGGATCTCAGCAAATTACTGGAGAGTACAATCTTATAATAACTTATAAAAAGATGGCCAAAATATTAAAACAAGCTGCAATAGACCAGAATAACCCTGTTAGCCGCAATATTAAAGGTTACATATTGTGATAGCAGTTAAGGGTCAGTTCATCCCAAAATTAAAATTTCTACTTTTACCTGGAGTGCTATTTATCAATCTAGAATGTTTTGGTGTGAGTTGTGAAGTGTTGAGATGTCTGCCTTCTCTAGTGTATAACAGATGGCACTTAACTTGTGGTACTTAAAGTACCTTAAAAAAAGACTCAACAGCAATAGTAGAAATAGCAGAAATCACAACCTGATTACTCTAGATAATCCACAGACCTTGTTGTGAGCAGTTTCATGTGGGAACTATTTTCTTTTTATCAAAGTACATCCGCCAACGGCATCACTGGGCAGAAGGAAGCGTTTGTCTACTGCTAGCTCACCTAGCACTGGGCTAGCTAATGTTACAGCTCTACCGGGGAGGATGCCTTTAATGTTTACATCCTGTGCTGTTATGAACTCAAGCCTCTCGTCCATGAGTAGATGCACACTTCCTTCAGCACAGTGATATGGCTGACGCGTGGAGTTCAATAGAAAGAAAATAGTTCCTACATGAAACTGCTCACAACAAGGTCTGTGGATTATCTTGAGTAACTGGGTCATGATTTCTGGAAAGAGACATTGCTGTTGAGTTCTTCAAATGTATTTTTTTGGCACTTTGAGCACCACAAGCCGAGTGCCATTTAATTCCATTATACTGAAGAGAGGGCAGACATCTCTAGGTCTGATAACTCCAACACTCTGCAACTCACACCAAAACAATCTAGTCTGATAAATAGCTTTATAGGTGAGAGGAACGAATATGTATTTTTGATTTGCGGGTGAACTGTCCCTTTAACCTCAATACACAGCTGAGCCTGAGTGCAGCTGAAGGTAACAAACGAGAACTGAAACTGACAAAGGACAGCTGAGTGTGAGACAGAGGAAAGATAAGGCAGGTCTGACAGGGCTACAATAGGGCTTTCCCTCTTGTGCCACCCTCAGGAAATGAAAATATGTAAAAAGTAAAATAAGTCGTCTCCATTTTTCATCTGTCCAAGAACTGTGACCTTAAGTCTTCTTTTGGTGCAATTTTTGCCATTCTGACACCAGACAGGGTCAGAGTTCAGGTGTCAAACTAATAAAATGATAGTTCCACATAAAGGAAAACATTTATGTTTAAATGTTCCACAGATTCTTCAGCACTTAAAGGCCAGAGGTGGGCAGCAGTGACACTCCCTTTTTTCCTGGATGTCTGCAATGATTTCCTCCTCCATCAGAGAGAATCGAGTTACGCCAGACATTAACTTGTTCTCCTCCACCAGTCTGCCTGAGCCTGTGGATGGGTGTTAAAGTCGCCGGGGGCTCGGGCACCAAGCAGTGTCTGGGTACAGCAAACAATGGACTGACCTGAACCTGAGAAAGAGAGGGAAACAAGTGTCACAATGCCTGGAAGCCACCAACTGGGGATGTCAAAATAAAACCGCGAATACAATTAGCCGTGTACATACATTCATACACACACAATGAACAAAGACAGGAAGCTTGTCGTAGTAGTAAAACATACATGACGAGAGGCGCTTACATAAAGGAGAATTGTAGTACACGTTTAAAAGCTTTTCCTGAAACACGCTGAGCAGCTGCAGGACTGTGTTGAAAATATTTTTAAAATTACAATAAACAGTATCTGTTATTGATTGTTCAAAACCATTTTTAATCTTTTTCAATTAACCCGTCCACCAATAGGTCAACAAGCTTATCTCATTACCTCCAGCCCACCCCCCGCCCCCCCTGGGCACACCGCCACCAGTGTCTGTTGACAAGCTATAGAAATAATGACAATTAGCCCAATTCAGCACACAGTAACACAATTACTGAGAAGAGGACAAAGCAAAGCAGAAAGACAAAGAATGGAAGCTGGACAAATAAAAAAACAAATCCCCTTAATGTCAGGAAGGCTTAAGATAAGATCAGTTTGATGTTCTGTTTCATTGTTGTGTCGGCATGAATGGCGTTCCTCTCAGAGCTGTGTTAAGTACTGTTAATATTCACAGAGAAGGTTGCCTTGTGTGTTAGACTTTCAGAATTCTTTTATAGGGATGGGAATAGAGAACTGGTTCCAAATTGTATGATGAATCCAAGCTTATCAATGCCTTTTGTCAATGCTGGCATGTTTTTCTGACAGTTTTGCAAAACATTATGCCAAACCCCTGCGTCTACGCTGCTGGAAATCTGCAACAAGAGGGAGTCATAGCAGAGAGGGTGAAACAGTCCAATGTGTGGCTTCAGTTCATGAAGTAAGATGACAACAGTGCTGCTTGTAATGTCTGTCAAATGATCATTTTGTGTCACACCGGCAAAATGCTGAAACATCTTTCCCCGCAGCATGGGGAATGACACTCCACATACAAGTGTCACTGCTCCCCAACTGAGCAGCATGTCTGTTACCGAGGGTAAATATCCTGCTATAATAAAAAGGACGGCAGGCTTAGCAGATTTTTTTTGACTAAGAAACACTAAATGAAAACAAGAATTCTACAAAATTCTCTCATTTCATCCATTTTCGATGATCACAGACTGTATCATCCATCCATCCATTTTCATCCACTTATCCAGGGCCGGGTCAGAGGGGCAGCAGGCCAAGCAAAGCACCCCAGACATCCCTCTCCCCAGCAACGCTTTTCAGCTCCTCCTGGGGGAACCCAAGGCGTTCTGGGCCAGATGAGACTGTCATGCGTGGCTTTTTTTCTAATCTGTTTCTACACTGTGCTCAGACTCACAGACTCACAAAACAGTTGTGTTGATATTGAAAAATCTTATCAATTCCCATCCCTTATCTTTCACTTAGCATTTAGAATACGTCTATTTAAAGAGCCAAAATAAAAGCTAAAAGCAAATTACTGACAGAAGCTTTGTTGATAATTGATTAATTAGGCATTAAACCTTTTTAATTCCAGCTTCTTAATTGTGAAGATTTGATGTTTTTCTTTGTCTTGTGTAATACTAAACTGATTATCTTTGCTTTTAGTATTGTCGGGCAAACAAAAGCAATTTGATGCCATCGGCTGGCTTTTGGATTTTTTTTTAATTTTTTCTAACACTTTATAGACCAAACAGTTAATCCACAACTACCTATTATAGCCTTAGCCTCATTGTTTGTCGAAGGAATAAACTAAACTGATACACTCAGATATTTTACCTCGTAGGATCTTCATTTATTGAAAATGGTCCTTTCACGTTGACAGTGTTCCTGCTGTATTCCACTGTGCCGTAGCTGAGAGTCACCTAAGGGGGGCATGACAAAAACGCATGCTGATTAGACAGATGCAGATCAGTGAGTCAGTTTGTGTGAGTGTGAGAGTGTGTGTGTGTGTGTGTGTGTGTGTACCTGGTTGTGTATGTCTGACACCAGTCCCAGGTTCTCCAGGTGGGAGTGGAACAACGCTGAGCGGATGAGGCTCACGCCAAGCAGCGCTTCCACGATGTAACCGACGGTGCAGTCGTCCGGGAGGCGAATGTGCTCAGCTGTTGCCATGAAGGCGCCATCGCTAGACAGAGAAAGTAGGAGAGAGAGTAAGCAAACTAGGATTACCGCCTCGTGGTTGTATCTCTCCACCAACCAGTCAGGTAACAGTTTAACTGCATGGCTATTCACACCCAAGATTAGTGTCATCAATTCAATGAAATTTTGTCAAAATCAGCGAATAAATTCTTGGGATGAATTCTTGACTTATGGCCAATTAATGTTTTGTTAGGTCACAGGGACATCTGACCACTGAAAAATAATCTAGTTCATGTGCTAAACTAGTTCATCCTTAAATCCAAGTGGACATTTGTGCCAAATTTGAGGACATTCCCTCAAGGAGCTCCTGAAATACTGCATTCATGAGAGTGGGACAGACAACCTGAAAACAGAACGCCTCCAGCCACGGCTGTCGTCAGCACAGAGGCATAAAAATATCTCATAATAATCTGAAATAAAATGGAGATTTACCTCGCCCAGGGTTTCATCTTGAGAGCGAGGCCACGGCTCAGACAGAATCCTGCTCCTCCTGTGGCGAACCAGAAATGCACCTGTTTCTGCACACAAACACACAGCATGAGTGAAGGAGCTGTAATCATAATTGTGCTTCTTGGGACCAGTGAAGGATGGACTAATGTTGATCTCACTCTGTGGGGAGCTAAGCTCAGGAGAAAACCTGTGTAAATATATATTTCTATAATCACTTTTGCAACTTTAAGAATGTTTTTACAGTAAGAAGTGAGGGACTATACCGAGACTGAGATATAGATGCATGTTTTAGTTATGGGACACTGAATAAGGATGTGAAACTGCAGAATTCTAGTTGGAATCAAAGCTGCTGTCTGAGCAGCGGCAACGTGAATCATCAACCACTTTAAGTTTACCATGTCAGTGGTGCCGAGACTCTCTGTGGCTTCTATTGGTCGCTCCAAGCTGGGCCGTCCGATGTAAACGTCCTGTGTGTGACTGTACTGAGACAAGAGCTTCAGGAGGGAGCCGACGTTCAGGTAGTTATCATCATCGACGTGACAGAACCACCTGCAACAGAGGAGAGTTAGTGAAAAGCTCTTTGTGCATGTTTATGACAAGTGTTACTTTGTGTGTGTGAGGAGTGTGACTTACTTCTTCCCAGAGTTAATAAAAGTGTCGTATTCCAGAGCCATCTTACAGGAGAGGGCCTGACGATTGTGAGCCGCTGAGCAGTTGGTGTTGATCAGGTGAGCTCCTGAGGATCAATGACAAAAAAAATCAATTGCTAGCACTAAAACAGTGATAGTTGAGGTTATAATAGGAAAGGAAAGATGTTTACTCGATGTAGCAACTTTGATTAAACATTCGTTGCAGAAGCAAGAAAGGTATTCTCACAAGAATAAATGCAAGAATTTTTGCAATTTGGCGTCCCCGCAGTTTCAGAGTGGTACACCATGTTGCTGGATTGCAAACTGCACTGTCCTGGCGTAAGCTGTAGTGATCTGTCTCATGCCTTAAAAGAAAACAGCAACAATCCAACAGCATACGTCCTTGTCAATGTTAGTATAAAAGACTGCATCGTAGTGTGTAACCTCACTCTCCTGGACAAATGTACACATGTATTTGTTGACAAGCTGAAAGATTTGAATCCGGCAATTACAAAGTCAAAAGCCAAAGAACCATGTCGACTGACAGGTAGAGTAAGGGCTCATTCATACTCCCTTTATGTACGAAAATAGATAAATGTCACTGCCCTCATACTTTCTTGCGCCATTTAGGATAACATAGATACAGCCAACAGATGGCACTAGAGGGCAGGGTCAAAGAGTTCACACAACAACAAACGAGACTACCATAGAGGAGGTTGTTATAATGTACCCTCTGATGGTGGCAACGTTGTAGACAACGGCTCTCCGTGAGGCCATTAAATACACAGGGACAGGTGAACGGAGAGTTCTTTTCACTGTATTAGCGATTTGTTCCATTTTAAAATGTCTTTTTCGTCTCCTACAGTCTTATCTCGCTTGAATTACACTACACTGCCCCCATGATTTGCTGTGGAATTGCTCTGTTTTGTCTGTAACTGTATAGAAAACATGCACAACTATGGATGAAATGAAGGCAGAGTATGGACAGAAGGCTATTTCAAATATAAGGTTGGCAGGGATTTACACTCTGCTGTCGGATTGCCGTTATTCTCCCATTAGCTGGGAAACAAATCACCACAGCTTAGATCAGGCCAATAACAGTTTGCAACTGCCATTAGTTTGTTTGTTAGTTTACTCTTGTCCAACCACTCGCTCTGTCACTCTCTCTTGTTCTCTTACTCTCTGCCTCCATCAGCGTTCTCTTCGCCTAGGTCCTTTGAGAGCACTGAGCTAGCTTCTGTTTTTTAATCGTTATTTCAGTGTCAACATACATACTATTAAAGGAGGCCATCAGAATCACACACACACACAGATGAAGCACTGATAAAAAAAATAATGAATAGCAGTGCCAAACAGCTGAGCTAGCTCGTGCCATGAAACATCATGCTTTGGTTATCCGACCCCCCCCTACCACAGTTACATGGGGCAAGAACAGGTGTCTGGGGAGTGGAGTGGGCACGAGAGAGAAAATTATATTGCTATTACAAGTGTACCGTCAAAATGATATTCCAAGGTAAAAAAAAAAGTTGCATAAGCTGCACAAGTGTTTCTGCGCTGAGTTGCACAATGTGTCCAAAAGTAAGAAGAATACCTCATTGAAAGTAAAACAATTCCATGAGTAAGATGAGGAAAGGCCTGTTGATTAGACTGACATGACTTCCTGCACTTCATGGAAACACAGTATTGCCCAGTCAGCAGCCTGGTTCCTGCTTTCCTGCTCACACACTGCAGATAACACTGCTGCTACTCAGCGAAACAGCTCCGTGTGTGTGTGTGTGTGTGTGTGTGTGTGTGTGTGTGTTTATTTATGTGTGCAACTCACCCATCCTTTTCCTCAGCTTCTCGTCCTCTCCATCAGTGAACACGAACGTCTGTGGAAAAAAACACACAGTTCAAGTTATTCCAGCGGCCTTCAGTGACCAGCGGGGAAACAAAAACACCAGCGTACAGAAGCTCTCACTGTTTCACCATCATTGTTCGTGGATGATTGTTTTTGATCTCAGGTGAGTCTCCACCTGTTTCCTCGGTCACACACAGCGATACACACAGCAGCAGCAAGCGATGCTAATTTTGGATGGAGGCCAAGACAAAGGTAAGCCTCATGTCTATCAGCAGCAGAGCAGCTGGCCCCAACTCTGTGACTGTGTGTGTGTACATGTATGTTTATGTGACGAGTGACAGGGTCGAGGGTCACTGTGCGCTCAGGAAGCCGTGTAGACCCCTCAACTTTCCACAGGAAGTAAACGTGCACCCTGGGTGCACACATGCAGAGCGGAGTCTGTAAATATTGTCTCAGCTCTGTGTTCCAGGACAATAGATTTGGAATGAAACAATGACACTGAGGTTAAACTGCTGAATCGTAGCTTTAATTAAAGGCTGTTTACATCCACACTGAGTCCACAAATTTTGGGATAATGCAGCAGGACAATGATCCTGAACATATTAGACAACATATCCAAAGAGTTATTATGGCCAAACAGTGTAGGGCTGCAGCTAATGAATATTTTCATTGCTGATTAATTATTTTCTAGATGAATCGATTAGTTGTTTGGTCTATGAAAATGTCTTGTTTTGTCCTCAACCTAAAAATATTCAGTTTGCTGCATAGAATGTAAAGAATAATGGATGTAGCCACCATGACGTCACCCATTGGTTTGTGGAGTCCTGTTTTGAAGGCTTGAGTTTGGCATTTCAGCCGTCGCCATCTTGTTTTTGGGGGGTTAGAAGTGATCATATTTGGACGAGAGATGGATCTGACTGAGAAACTGAGGAAACTTCTCGCAGGCAGCCTGTTGCTCAAAGCAGCTGCCCTTAATTATGCCTAATTTAAAGCCTTAATAAAATCTAAATGAGTGATTATATTAAAAGTCACCCCCGTCCAATTGTCATGAATGTTGAAATTAGCTGTAGAGACCAAAAATGTTTTTTTCTACCAAGCTGTAGACATGATATTCTACATTTTACTTCAAGTGGTCATTCAGTGAACTGCAGTTTTTGGTGCTTCGATATTGGCTATATTTTAAAGCTTCAGAGGTTGTCGCTTGGCTTGCTGTCATAGAGGAGAAAAGAAACCACAAAATGTTTACATTTAAGAAGCTAGAATCGGAGAATTTTGACTTTATCTTTTCCTAAAAAAACGACTCAGACTTCTATTATCACATTAATATTGATTAATTAAGTGGTTGACAACTTATCAATGAATCGCTGCAGCTCTGAAAAAGTGAAATGTTCTTGTCCAATTCAGTCACATTGCCTCTTTCCAGTTGAGAGGCAGTTCTACTTGCTGAAGACCAAAGTGAAAGCAAAAAATCCCCTGAAACAACCAAAAGGTAGTGATGCCCAGTAAACATGATTTGGGTGATTTAAGAAGTGGCTGGTTGGTTGTAGAGTAAAGACACTGAAATATAGTCATTTAAGTGCTGTTAAAACAATAGCAGCATGTGTCCTTGAAGTCTATGAAGCTTTTACTTTAGAGACATCGATGCCAAGACGACTTTCGACCTGCAGATCAATATTTAATGGGCTGCTGCAGTGCAGGCCTGGCAGAGCATCAGCAGGGAGGATGCCAAGAGTCCGCTTATGTTTATGCATTGTAGTCTTCAGGCATTAATTAACTGTAAAGGACTTTACACCAAATAAATATATAATGACTTAAAAGTCAAGTATGTAGGATTTAGGGGCATCTATTGGAAGAAGTGGATTATATTAGTCATAACTATGTTTTTATTAGCTTATACCTGAAAATGAGACTGTTGTGTGTTTGTTAGCTTAAGGCCCAGACAAACCAAACTGACATCAAAGAAATGGTGGTGACGAAGGCCAACTGTAGCATCATCTCATGTCACCTGTGAACTTGATGCACTGCAAGGACTAAAGCCGACGCCCAACTTTAACATAGATTTTGCGCCTGTGTGAGAGGAACCTCTTCATACCAGCAGGCGATGATAATCTGATCTCACTCCCTCTTGACCTTAGCCGTTTGTTTGCTTTCTTTACCTCAGGTGCGCTGAGCTGAACTACCCCTCAGAGTGATTTCATTCACCGACGGGCTCCACTGTCGATTCAACATGCTGAATTGGCTGAAAAAAAGCTGACACGGGCCAACTAGTGCCAACGGTGCAGGACATACCACCAAAAGTATGGCAACAGACACTCACCAACAGCTGATGGTTGGCTCTATATCTACATACGGAGCAGATCCTCTGGACCACACTAGACCTTTCATTTTAAATTTGTGTAATTTGTCTTTTTGGTCTCAGTGCCCTAAGAAATCTGAAATTCATATTTTGTTCATCTGATTGTAAACACACCCACATTCAAGCTAGAAATCAGCACTGTAACCTCATAGTCATTGTTTCATTTCATATCAAATATGCTGCAGTAAAGAGGCAATAAAAAATGTGGCCTCATATTGTTCGACTTCAATGAATGCACCCCCCAAGTCAGCAGACCAGGCTTAGAGGGTTTCCACTCTGCAACCTTCCCGCCATGCAGCACAAATTCAATAATAAATCTCTGGTGCAAGTGCTGTGTGATCACATCACTGCCTGTGGTAGAGAGAGAAAAACATATCTGTGTGTCCGGCCAGCTGTTGGCTTTTGTCAGCCTTTTTTTCTCACTCTGAGCCTCTTAAGCCTCTGGAGAGCAGTCAGCTTCTGAGTCTGCCTCAGTGTGTGTCATAGCAGTGTGTGCACGGGCCAAGCTGGGAAGGCAAGAGGAGGAGGAGGAGGAGGAGGAGGAGGAGGAGGAGGAGGAGGGGGGGGGGGGGGGGGGGGGGGGGGGGTGTTTACTCTTGTGATCAGACACATTTTTAACTTCCCATGAGAAATCTGGTGAGCTCCCAGGGCATCTGGGTATGTGAAGGTAACACTGTGAGAATGTGTGTGTTGCTGTATTTCCATTACTCAGCAGTCTCACAGTATAGAGGTGTGTCTGGGAAACAGGTAGAGTTACACACACACCTGACCGTGAGAGCAGATGCAGGAATGCGTCACACACACACACACACACACACACACACACACAAACATGCACACCAGCTGATTTCCCCTCCATAAGCTCTATTTACATGTCAACAGTCTCTGTGCAGCATGAGATGAGACTTGAACGAGGTCTTCCTCAAACACTGAGGTTTAAATGGAAATCAGAGCGACCGCCGTTCGCCCCACAGTCATGTCTGCATTCGATTACGACCTTTGAAGCTGCTGGGTGCAGTTTACCACAGTCCCATGTGTTTGACAGCAGCAGATTCATCTTTGACTCACTCACCGCTGTGATTCAGACCAAACTGCTGTCTGCTCATACCGTTTGATCTCAAATATTCATCTGTGAGGCTCAACGTCTCTCTTTCAAATCCAGTAGGCATGTTAAAACTCCTCCAGATCACAGGATGGCTGGTTTAATGACTAGGAAAAGATGGTTTCTAAATGGGCTGCCCTGTGAAAGTCAAAGATTCGAATCATCAGTCGGAGACCCCTCTGTGGAGATTCTTTAAGTTGAGCAGTGTGTTATTTTTTGTCAGTGTACTTTCTGTCCCCAGATTCAGCTGCAGAGTGAGCGCTCTCACTTTCATGCTGCTCTCTGGTACAAGCAGCTGCAGACCCAGACCCAGTGTGAGTAAGTCTGAGACAGCTGCCCAGAGGAAGAGGGGCGTTGCCTGGTCGGGCTCCGAGATGATGTCATCTTGTCTTCTGCCCAGAGGTGGTGAATTTATAGCTCACAGCAACTTAATACGATACAGCCTCTGGCATTTGTTTGATATCTAGTGTCTTGTTGCACATTGCCGATCCATTTTAGTGTTGTTAGCACCCATTAGCTCGGAGGGATTGTTTGGCTCGTTTACTAGGTTATATTATGTGAACGTCCCTGTCACCCTGAGGCCCTGTTTAGACGACAACGGTTTCTCTAAAAACGGAAAAGTCTGTCCTTTGCGTTTTAAAAAACTACTGCGTTTATATGCCGACGTTATTGAAACGATCTCCGTTCACACGGAACCGCAAAATCTACTGGAAACGCTGTAGTATGCACGCTAGGCCAATGGGTGGCAGTGTAAATTTGCAAAGCAACACCATGGCATGACGCCATGAGCCTGCGCTGAAGCACCTTCCTTTACAACAACCAAAACAAAGAAGACACAATGGCGAAAGCATGCACAGATAACTTTGTCTGGATGGACAACGAGGTGGAGTTGCTACAGTAACAGATCTACACTTCACTTCAAATCAACAGGGTGAGCAGTACAATCGATGATTGGCATGCCTAGTGACTTGAACCGTAATGCGCATGTGCGAAAAGTCTTCAGAGGAACTGCATATTGCAAGTTTATATGACAACGAAGGCACTGCCGTTTCCAAAAAGTTGCACTCTGGAACCCGTTTTCGAAATTGAAATTGAAATCGTTGTCGTATAAATGGGGCCTGAATGTCTTGCCGAGGCCTGTTCAAACTCTTTAACTCTATAAGGTGAAAAGGAACAAATAGTTAAGTATTCGTATTAAACAGCCACATCTGATTTGACTGACATACTTCTAAATTGGGTACAGCTATAGATTCTAATATGATCAGTGGGGGAGGAAGAATTCAGATTTAGTGCTGCAATGTATTAGTTGATTAATACACATTATTTCAACGATTGTTAAGGTCATTTTTAAAGCAAAAATGGCTAAAACAATCAGCTTCCACCTTCTCAAATGTCAATATGTTGTGGTTTTCTTGACTCTCTGTGAAGCTGGAGTGAATATCTTTGACTTTTAAACTGTTGGCTGGATAAAATCTGAAGTCAGCAGCTTGGACACTGGGAACTTGACAGACATATTTCACAAAATTTAAGCAATTAATCAAACAAATAATTGGTATATTAATCAAAAATGAAAACAATTATTAGTTGCAGCCCTATTCAGCACTACTTACTTGATTGAATAAACAAGGACACAACAGAAAAATACTACATGAATGAGCAGTAAAGTATAAAAGGTCAAAGTAGAGAATGGCTCCTCTTTAATTAGTGGGTTAGGATTCCAATAATTAAGGTGCAAGATGTTGAACCTGTTCCAGATGAGGCATAATCTCAACTTCTTTATCTGCTGTTGGGTCATTTTTTCCACAATGAATCATATCCTATGAGCTTACAGCAAATGTTTCACATGAAAATCTAACTGCGGAAATAACTAGTAACTACAGCTGCAGTCTCATAACTCTATGAAGTAAAACATTTGATTCTTAATGTAGTGGAATACAAGTAGAAAGATGAACAAAAAGTACAAGCACCTTCAAACTTTATTACTTTCTACATCAGAAGCACTTTGAAATTTAACTTTCTCTTTTATTTCAGAGCTGTGTCATCTCAGTTTTAACCATGTTTGAAGCGTGGCTGTTAAAACGCAGACTACACGGAGTCCCTGCATGTCGATGACAGTCTGAACTACAGCTGAACAATAGTGTCATTGTATTTGCAGCCTTGAAACAAATCTGCATCTCATATTCTCATCGACACTATTTAATAAGATGCAGGGCTCACTCATGCATCTACAGTATAGTCTTTCCTCCTCTTTATGCCCCCTGCTTGAGTCATGTCAACACATTAGCAACAGTGTGGTTGACCTCAGATCTCCCTCTCATACATTACAAAGGCATCTATCTTTGTTTTACAGTTCACTGGCAGGCTGGATCAAAGAGCCGGTGGACCCTGTCATGACAGGGGGGTTAGTGCTCTCTTGCAACTGCAGCAGGAGATGAGGGAAAACTACTATACATAAAACTTTCCTTCATATAGGAACTATTCACACACTGTATAAGGTCTCATAATGTGCATTTGAGCTCTTACAGCACTGAAATACAAGGTTTCCTCCATGTGACCCTTCACCAGCTGATGAATCTCATGAACACAACTTAGGATCTCAATGGGTTACAAGTTAATTCAATTTACTATCTGGTAACTTTGCTATTGTGTGACTAGAAATTGCACATAAATGCTGCTCTGCACTCTGAATGGTTCGGAGCAGCATTAATGTAGTTTCTAACAGCTGTAACAGTCATGTTCAAGTCATGTTTTTGTTGAGTTGTTGTTAAATTAAATTCACATGTCTGATTTTAACAGTATCTGTGTCACCTGTGTGAGATTCAGCTGAATTGTTTCCATTAACAGGTATCAGGTAACCTCTAATAACGCGCCCACTGGCTCACCTGTTGCATGTTCCTGGAGATCCAGGTGTCCAGCAGGAGCTCCAGTCTCTGCCGGTGGTATCTCCCAGTGGTCTTCACCGCTATGAACAGGTCAGCCGGGGAGAGATGCTCCACCGGCCCGGGGGGAGCGCTTCTCCGCGGATGGTCGCTCACCGCTCGCCTCTCCCGGGTGAGTTTCCGGAAATACGCCGAGAAAACTTTTCCGCTGGTGGTCGCAGCAGCAGCTGGAGGCTCCACCGGGTCTCCTGTGCTCGGCTGTCCCACAGTGACGACCAGCATGCCGGTCACGAGCAGACAGGTGACCGCGGCGGCAGCAGCGCGCGGTCCCGCGGCAGAGCTGAAGGAGCTCTTTGGTTCACCGGTAAGTCTCCACATTGTGACGGTGAGGACGGTTTACAGCTTCACTCATGGACTGAAACACTTCTCTTCAGTTTACAACATCTCCACAGTGGAGACACAAGTTACAGACACCCTGCTGTTCTCCTTCAGTGGGTGACCTCCCGCTGTGTGACTCTCTGCTTTATCCCAGTGAAGTTATAAACTCCACCAGTGGGCAGGACGGTCCCGTGTTGGACCAATGGGAGGTTTGAGCGCTCAGTGTGGGCGGGGCTAAGCAGCAATGAGGCGGTGAGGTCTCTGGATGAACATGCACATGGCAGTACAGACCGACTCCAGCAAACAAGCAAACCTCTAAGATCTATATGTGACATCCAGAGCAATAATACTGCAGCAAACCACTGCCTGTTATCTTTTTTTTTTTGGCAAAGATTTGTTTTCATTAATAGTTGCTCAACTTACAGTACAGGAGCAGTCCCAAAAATGTGACAGGTTTCCATTTGTGCATTTGAAAATATTCTTTTAAAAAGAAAAAGTAAAACTAAAAGGACAAATATCCTTACCCAAAAACAAAGAAAAACATTGAAATTAAATATGAGGATACTATTCCCTAAATATATACAGAGAGGATGTACTAACACTAAATCTTAGGACATTTTGACGTACAAACATATATTAGGCTACTAAATTCACAGATGGATCAGAAATGATCAAAGTCCGGAAAAAATAAGAAGCTGTTCAGCATCAGACCCCCAAGTTTGATATCGAATACACAAGACCAATTTTAGTGACAGTAACAAGATAAGATGCTATTAATTAGGAAGCACTCGTCTGAGGACACTGGGACTTAATTATTATTGACAGTGTTTTATACTAATCAGGTCTCTGATCCCAAATAGCTAGGATAAATTAAAGATGCATACCGAGCAAAGGTCTGGGTCTCAGGAGGATATATAATGAAATCACAATGAAAGCTTAAGATAAGGTTGGTCCAGGAAGAGTTGCATCCCTCTGGTTGGTTAAATCGAAAGAAAGCAGAGTGCTAATAAAGGGACCCCAAATTTTCTGAAAGGTTGAGGGGTTTTTCCTTACATTATATAATATTTTTTCAGGTGTGCAATTCCACAAATGGCCACTGATAAAAATTGGCTGCAAGGCTGAGCTCATCCAGTGGTTACCGCTCATATTGTGATGGCCTTATTGTGTCAGTATAGCGCACAACACTGTTAGCTCTGTTGTTTACCGCTGCTTATGGAGTTAGCACTGTTAGCCGCAGGGTTGGAAATTAGCTCCAGCCAACTGCAGCTAAATGCTGGTAAAATATGCAAGTGTCTGGTAGATGTGCTTCACTCACCAGCCAGACAAACAATGGTAGTCTACTGAGTAGCTGGTAGATTTTGAAATCCACCAGCTACAGTGGCAGGTGGACATACAAGTCAATTTCCAACCCTGGCTGTTCTCTGCTGGCTTTGTTCTCCATGTTGAGATTCAAGTCTAGACAACTCATACACTCTGAATTTTCCATCAAACCCCTTTAATTACTGGAGCCTATATAGCAATTTTCAAAACAGGTGTTACAAAGTGCTCTGCGGAGAGGAAAAATGACCGAGAAGACAATATAGGCTACTGTATAAAACCAACAGAATTATGGCATATAATTGAAACAGTAGCCTAAAAGATAAAAAATACAAAAAAGGCTAAATAAAACAAGATTTATTGTCAGTCATAGGTATTATAACTTTGTGCACTGATTTGTGTTCTGTGAGATTTTGCAGGAGGCTTCAGTTTTCAGCTCTGATCTTGAAACAGCAAGACGTCCCTACGCTTTCTAAAATTCTGCTGAGTAAAGTTGCTCACTTCCTCTATAAACCTGTGTGAATATCTGCAACAACCTTATTTTACGGTGATATTTTAGCTTAATATGGCTATTTAAAGATTCCTTTTTTGGTCTCTTTTTGGGTTTGGTCCTGTATAAACCTACAGGGGGATGTATTTGCTCTCTGACTGTATATTTACACAGATGCGTGACAAATTAAAGGAAAAAAAATAACAACAAAAGTTTTTTAGTATTCAGGTTTTTCCTTTAATTTAGCACCTGTCTGTGTTCACGTGTGTGGTGGTGTTTTTAACCACAGAAAACTGGTTCGTAAAGGGAACACAGGGGTGATATAAGCCTGTATCTCAATGCTACTAATGCACTCACAGCCTTATACGACTAGGATTAAAATATGACTGTTATTGCAGGTTTTTCATTTGCAAAGTAATGCGTATAATAACTCACCGCATTAAAGCAGTTTGGAGTCACTGAAGTTGAAAGCAGCAGTTCTTCTTGTTGGAGAGCAACATGCCCGCAGCTCCTCTCTGTGAGAGCCTGGCAGGTCATCCTCCAAGTGGACAGATGTTGAAGACGACCGTGACATCGGAGTGTGTGTAGTGCTGCCAACCACACACGCACACACATGCAAACACACAGAGGACAGGCGTGCCAAGCAGCCAGGTTGCCAGATCCACCAACCATTTGAGGAATGCTTCCTCTCTAATAATGTGCAGTTTGTCTGTGCTGCATAATCTGTGCTGATCCCTCAAGCAAAGTCAGTATAATATTACATTTTAAGACACTCCCTGACCTCTGAAGGATGGCTGGGAGTGTGGAGGGTTACATTATGCTTTATTGCGCTCAAACAAAGTATGTGTCAGACTTTTGACAGCTCTGGTCCTTATAAACCACAGAAAACTGGTGCACTAACACTGACATGGATAAAATATTTAATTTGACAAAGCAATTCAAACCCAAGGTCGCTTTTTAGTTTGCTAGTTTTGCAGACTTGCTCATGTTGTCTTATTATTTCAACATTAAAATGAATTCTTGACCTTGAAAACAACACTTTGAGTTGCACATTTTGTCACTGAGAATGACCTGTTTACACATGATCTCCAGAAAAAGCCAGTGAGTGGACCTTCAGCTGGGGTTGAGAAGTCTTAAAGGTGGTGTGAACGGGATCACAACAACAGCTCCTGAGCTTGTATGTCAACAGGTTCAGCTCTGTGTTCTGATGACCATGTGAAATGACTCAGTGCTGTGGAAAATGCAGGTAGGTGAACCATTCTTAAAATGTATTGCAACATACCTTAAAGCGAAGCATACAAACATTGTAACATAAAATCATTTCTTCACATCCTGTAGTTTCACATCTTCAAGATAAACAACATGTTACCAGAAACTCTTTACTGATAGTAAAGTTTACCAGGAAACACATTGAGCTTGTTAGCACACTTCTCATTTTCTGTCACATGAAACTAAAACTTCAAAGCTTCTCAATATGGAAACTCTGCAAGTTCCAATATGACTAAACATTCATGACCTTTGGTGTAAAGAAACCTGTTTGATGGCCTTATATTTGTGCATCATTAAAATACTTTATATGGGTAGTTTATGTCAGAGGTCACATTATCTCACACAATCTGATCATCAGTTAGGGTGGCGCATTAGTCACCATCCTGTTGATCACATTAAAGAAGATGGCTTCAGGCATTCTTTGAAAATTATATGCATACGTGTAGGTGCATATCAATTAAAAGTGCTTTCCCTAGCTGCATTTGGTTTATATTTGTTTTACCCCCCCCCATTTTCCATGTATAGACATCAGTGGTTCTCAGCCTTCTTTATGTCAAGCACCCCTTAATTGATACACATTAGGTCAAGGACCCCCATTTGATGAGATTTTGCTTCAGGGGCCTCCATGTAAAAAGATTTTGGTTGTCAGATATGATTAAGACTAGGATTCTGTCATTGTTAACTTTAGTTGAGAAGATAACTGAAAAGGAAGTGAAACCAATGACCAGAATAATCCCTCTCATGACTCTTTCTCACAGTGGGCTTACTTCCGTAGTGAATTAAAAAGTGAAAATAGTTTGAAAAGTCTGTTTGTCTGACACTACATACATCCTCTGTAATCTGTCTAGTTTAAAAGTTTAGTATCAACAATGGCCTAGCAGTTGTGTGTACGTAGGAATAGTTGTACTTTGAGCTAAATGATAACACTCAGGTACTTTTAACTTCGCTTAAGTGTTTCCATTTTACGGTACGTCCACTCCACTACTTTTTTGTAGATTTTTTTTGTATGTACAGAGACATACTTTGTGATATCAAAATATAATAAACATTGACTCAAAAACATTTGAGAGAGAAATAGTGTACTACATTTATTTGTCACTTATAGTTACTTTTCTTTACATATAAAAACATAATATATGATATGATGCAGCACACATAAAGGTGCATAACATCTCAAGGGTTTCACCGATCACCACGCAACTTTGTAGGCATATGACCACACATAATCTGAGGGGACCCCTCCATTATTGACCCCATCAAACAAAATGGGGGCGCTAAAGAGCTAATTTCTTATCTAGGCCTAACCGCCATATGGATTTTTACTAAATTTGGTAGATATGTAGAACAGGACGCCTCAAGGTGACTGAAGAAATTTAACTCTAATTGGCAACTGGGTGGCGCTATAACAACAGAAAGATGCTTAAAAATGGCTAAAATGCGACTGATCGCTGTGGCTCCCCCTGTGGCCAAATGTTGTTGTTTTTTTTTCTAATTTTTGGTATGACTAAGTCATGGTATGGTATGCTATACATAATCACGGAAACTGTCAGTCAGTCATTCTGTCTGTCCCACGTTTTTCTACTCACTGACGTGGTCAATCTATGTGAAACTGCACATAGGCATTGAGGTTTGGCATAGGTAGAAGGTGACAAAGCTACCAATGGGTATGGACTAGTAATGCCTAATTTTGCTTTTTGATACCTCAAGTACATTCTGATTCTGATTTCTGATAATACTTCAACACTTTTCCATACAGGTATACTATGCAGGCTTGTGGGTTACTGTTTGTAAATGAGCTCACCAGTGAAAGTGAAAGTAAAAGCCAACCCCATGTTCACTCTTGTTTGGTGTTTGGCCCCACTTTGTGTTTCTTCATGCTGTGTCTCTTGGATGTCTGCTGCTTACAGTCTGGCACCTAGTTGCTAAATTTTTCATAAAACCCCAACCTCACCTGAGCGCTGCGGACGACACGCCCATAAACTTCCCGAACACTGAAAATAAGAATAAAATAAGAACATACAGGGTGAGGGCAGAGTCTCTGCAGAG